CAGATGACAATGGGAAAGATGGCCTCAGAATCAATGATAAAGAGAGTATTCCATGGCATACACAGCATTGATCCAGAAGTGCCACTGCCCCCTGGTGATGGGATAAGTCGTGAGCAGTTGGTTATTTTCCTGGCAGATATTCTTAGAGGAACTGCAGAGGAACGTGCACCTCTGGTCTTGGCAATGGCAGAGGGTGAAAAGGCTACTGCTACCACAGCTGAACAGATCAGAGGTGTAAGTATCACCATTCACCAAGTTTATTTAGTGTTATTTTTTTTTAATTTACGTTTTAGTTGTTATGTGGTTTTGTCATTTTTATTAATTTTTAATTTATATTTATATATATAATTATATATATAAATATAAATATCTCTATATAGATATTGTATTTATTCCAGTTTAGTTTTAGTAATTTTATTACATAAACTTATTTCATTTCAATTTGCCAGGGCAAATTTTCTAATTTTTAAGTTTTTCAGCTAATATTTATATAGTTATTAATAGGATTTTTGTTTTGTTTATTTCAGCTTCATTTCTATAATCAAAGTTGATTTCATTAACACTGTTAAATATAGGCCTGAAAATATCAGTTAAACCAACTAGGCCCGGTTTCATAGAAAGGAATTAAGCCAGGATTTGGCCTTAGATCAATCTTAGATCAATTAGGACATTTACGCAGCTTTGTGTGCATCTTGAGACAAAACAATGCCAGTGACATATTTTAAGAAAGATATTCGTTAAAACAGCTCAAATGTGTATTTTAGTCTAGGACTAGGCTTAAGCCATGTCTGTGAAACCTGAGGATAGTTTGCCAACTCATGAGTATTTAAACCCACAAAGTCACTTTAAAGATGAGGGATCGGTACAATTTCCAAATAATTCTTAAGATCTTATTTTGGTAATTTAATGTTTCTGAAATAGTTTGTGGAAGACCTGGTTTCAGCGGCAGTGCAGACTCTAGTCCACAGGGGGCATCTGCGAGGTTGGCAACCCGATCGCATGGCTGATGGCCATCAAGGGGTTAAACTGCTATCAGAACATTTGACCTCTGAATTAAAATCTTCAGGTTTGTATCATAATCACAGTAAATGCTTTTTTTTAGATTAAATTCAAATGAAAATGAATAAAGTGTATTTTTGAATAATGTGAATGTGAACCTTTGGATAAATCTCATAAATAAGAGGGGTTCTTTTAGTATTATTTATATACTATTAAAGTATTTATTAATATTATGAGTTAGCTTTTATTTTTGTATTTTATAGTTTTATGCATAGTCATTTTTAATAGCTTTTGTTTTTTTGCTTAACACTTTACAATAATTCCATTTGTTAAAGCTGCAGTCCGAAGCTTTTTTGGGGTTAAAAATTATCCAAAATACATATTCTATATAAGAAGAACACGTTTCTTACTAGTTCAGAGGACATTTCTCTAATGAAACTTCTTATGTTGGTCATACTTCCAAAAAGAATAATCTGTGATTCTGAATGACAGTATCCACACCAGCGTGGTGACTGACAGCCTCACACTCTCCTTAAACATTGTGTTCATCCCCGTGTCGAGGGTGTTGAAGTACAACTCACGTAAAGTTGATAATTCCGAGAATGACTGCAGATGGCGACAAAGAGGAAAAAATGCTGGGCTGCAGCTTTAACATTAGTTATCTAGATTAGTTAACATGAACTAATAGTGAAAAAATAATTCTAAAGCATTTATTAATTTTAGTTAATGTTAATTTCAACATCAAAAGTTGTCTCTTTTAATATTATTTAATGGACCTGAGCTAACATGAACTAAAAATGAACAGCTGTATTTTTATTAACAATAATGCATTAACTAACATTAATTAATGGGACCTTATTTTGAAGTGCTACCTCGTTTTAACTAACAAATACAGTGCACAGCAAGAGGATCATTTCATATAATTAGTCCTTATCGCTTCTATAGATCAGAGTACGTGTGACATACCATGTCTGGAAGACTGGCTTTTCCGGATCCCAGCAATGGCCATGTTTTTGGAGCTTCTGATTGGTGAGGGGCTAGGAGTTGGGTTGCCCTCTCGTCCTCCCCCAACTCTCTTGCCCCCGTGTCGCTACGCTCCCTGGAGTGACCTCCGATGTCTCTTGAATCTACCTCTTCTGATGTTCCTGTCCCCTCAGCTACCTGCGGGACACAGCACCCCCTGGAGGTTGTTATTCTCCACAGGCATACACGGCGAAAGCTTCACCCGATTGGTGGGCAACTGTAAAAGTCGGGGTCCCACTGTCATGTTGGTAAAAGACACTAAAGGCCATATCTTTGGTGGCTTTGCGTCTCAAAGCTGGGAGGTCAAACCTCAGTTCCAGGGTGAGTTCAGAAAGAATAAACCATATGAAATGTTATACTGTAGTCACACCATGTCATAATGCACAGGGTAGGGACACGCTGATCCGCCCATTGAGGCGTGTGTGCATCCCCGGACACCTGTTATTGCTCCCTCTCGCTTAGCTGAATGCCACTTGTCCCTCTAAGAAAGTTCTTGTCAAATGCTTTCGCTCTTGTCTGTCTTGATCAGATCATCTTGCTTTTTTAAACAATTGACTGATGGCCGATAGTGAAAATAATTGCTTTTATTGGCCAAAACATTGTGCATCTCTACCAAAAAGGTTCTATTTGAATAAGGAGAAATTATATAAGCAGAAATGTCTTACATTATAACAAAAGACACGTTATAGTGCTTTTAAAGCTACACTGTGTGATTTTTACCCCCATCTAGCGGTGAAAAGGTATATGACCATCCAGGGAATATTAGTTTCTGTTCCTCTCAATTCCGATTTCGTTTTAACTCCTACGGTGGCCAATGTAGTCCAAGATTAACATGGCTTCCAGTTCGACCTCGTCCATGAGTGTTAACTCAAACGTAAACGCGAAAGGCGAAGCTTGAATTAACGGGTATGTCCCTCTTTGGCTAATGTACTTTCAAGATGGAGGGGCTACATCGCGACCGACATTAGAACCCCTTACCCGTATGTATTTTCAATGGCATATTATACACTCACGTGAAAACTTTATTACTTGAACGAAGTAAATCTACATGAATGAGCACATATATTTTTGAAAGAACTTAGTGTTTTTAGCTAAGAATAAACTAAAAGAGTTTACGATTTGTAATTACGAGTTCTATGAGGAGATGAATGCTTACGAGTCAGAATCTCGTGATTAGTTAATTCTGACATGGTGTGAAGTGTAAAAACCTTTACACAGTACAATCAATGTTTTTTTCTTTTTTTTCCCACTAGGCGATTCCAGGTGCTTCCTCTTCTCCATTTCTCCCTGTATGCGAGTGTTCACCTGCACAGGCTATAACAATCATTACATGTACTTGAACCAGGGCCAGCAGACCATGCCAAATGGCTTGGTGAGATCAATACTAAACAGTGCTCAAGGCTTTACACCATAGAGCTAAACAAAACTACATTGTTACTTCTCTTTTTTTAGGGTATGGGTGGTCAGCATGGCTATTTCGGCTTGTGGTTGGACTGCGATTTCGGAAACGGCCACAGCAGGGCTCGACCACGGTGCACTACATACGGCAGTCCTCAGCTCTCAGGAGACGAGGAATTCAAACTGGACACCGTGGAGATATGGGGCGTTGGGGAGACACCTGAAGAACAGGAACAGGTCTGTGATAATTTGCTGAAATTTGCATTTTTGATACTAAAAAATATCAAAATAATTATGCAAAATTGAAATGTTCCTGATGTTGACAATCAGGATGAGAAGAAGAAAAGCATACTAGATGCAGATCCTGAAGTACAGGCCATGATGGAAATGACTGGGAAGACCCTGCACAGCCAAGGCCTTCGAGAACCTGAGGAGGATGAGGCACAGTGAGGAAGGAAAAAGACGAAGACAACATGGAGATCAAACCAGCAGTGTTTGTTTTTAGTGTTTGGTTTGTGTATTTTACACATTAAAATGAATGATGAAGAAACCACACTATTAAGAACCACTTATTAAGGTGTTATTACACTGCAGTTTTTATGTGGATATGCAAAATCAAGGAGCTGGTTTCCTGCTTTCTGTGAAATATTAAAATGTGCACATAAAGACGTTATGATGTTCTGCCTGACTACTGTTTAACACTGAGTATTGACTATGTGTGGCTGAATTCTACATTTTTTATCAATTATCTGGACATTATGTGGTTGCATTAAGTCTTGACTGATAAATTTATTGTCTGTAAACTGAAAGATTAATTCATTACATGAAAATTATTATTAGTGGTGCTTGCCAAAGGCAAGGCATCACTTTTGTTATTGCTTATACTTAAACTGTTGCACGCTACTCCTCCCGCACCATTTGTCGCAGACCCTGAGGTGTCAAATTGCCCGGTTTTTTGAGGAGAGGTGCTATGACTTTTATAAGCGGGGTGTACAATGTTTGTCCGGCGGGCGATAAATGTTAGACTTAACACTGTGAACTGTAACTTAATGCTGTAGGCCTAGACTGTAAAAAAATATTGTTGGTTTAATTTAAAAAATGAAGTAACCTGGTTGCCTTAAAATTTTAAGTTCACTGAAACGGAAAAATTGAGTTAATACAATGGAGATTGATTTAATCATCAGAAACTCAAAATACTATGTTATATGAACTACATAAATTATTTAAGTTGATTTGACAAAAAAAAATTGTGATAACAAATCGTAAAAATATATTTTTTTACAGTGTACTTGAGTTTCCAGTATGCATCGCTGTATTAATAAAATGTGCAGATTTAATAGTATTAAACAATGATATTAAATAAGTGAACCACTTTCGTTTTTAGGTCGAAATTCAACTTTTTTTTTTTTAGATGAAGTGGTTTAAACATTTACAGTGGATTACCATGGTAGCCTAATACTTTGTAGTTTTTGCATCCAGATGATAGATATATGTTCCATAACAGCCTTCTAGTATGATTTTTTTTTTTCATGCATTCTTAATGCAAATGAACAGTGGAATGCACGCGCTGGAAAGTAAGAAAAGAACGCGACTTGAATTCGACATTCGGAGCCCTTTTCTCATTCGCATGTTTAAATAAATAAATAAATAAACATGAGAATAAGACCAATCATTCATTATTCAAACATTAACATCATTTAGGACGACACACTTTTCTTCTGACAGCCAGCGCCCAGCTGCCAGCAACAGGTGCTTTATTTTCAAATCCCCTCCTCAAAAGTTTACTTAGAAAGTAAGCTATGTCCATTTTTATACTTCGCTTTAAGGTATTCCGTTTGCCTTTAGAGTCATACGTTTAGTTTTTAGAGAGACATTAGGTTGTTAATGAACATAAAACACTCCAAACATGGGAAGAACTTCGTGATGTCATGATTACGTAAACATGGGCATCATGCAACTGTAACAACCTGAATACACACAGAAATAAACCTTTCTTCGGTATCCGGATCTCACGTGTTTTGGCACATTTACACAGGCACAAAGACACAAAAGTTTGACAGCGTGGTACACACATCGCTATCTCTTCCCTGGGGATTTTGCATAGATATTTTTGCTTCCGGATTTTTTTTTTATTCTCAAAATGTTCTCTTCACTTCCTTGTGTTAAGCGAATAGAGGAACTGACCACATTGTGACTAGACTGCTCATAGAGATTTTTTCAATTCTGCATTAGGATATTTTTAATTTTTAAAATGAGAATTAGTTAGACTACAGCAGGCGGTTTTCGAAGTCTTCATTGATTGTCTTCTCTAAACTGGGTAAGTATTCTCTAATTTGGATGTTTACATTACGGGTACAGTAGCTGTTTATGTTTGTGTAGGCTACATTTGTTTTAAAGGCCTACATTTTTGTTTATGAAAAATACACTGATCAAGTTTGAAGCTCCTTTAGTTTTCCCATTTATCATCAATGGGAAACTTTTACCCGAAAATTACCTATATTTGCAACCAAATTGTTCTATACATATCCGTGATCTATAAAAAAAAAAGCTAATTCTGCAAAAGCAGGTGTGCCTCCTCTGCCTCTTGTCGTATGATGACAATTACTATTGTACTTAAAGACAAACCCAGATGTGGCATATTCATTTTCTGACTCTGTAGAGCAACATATCTTCATTTATTCTTGTCTTGTTATCATTTGTGTAAATAATGGTTTGTTAGTAGGTTATTTTATCTTGGTGATTGTCTTTTAATGTTAGGAAAGACAAAGAGAATGATCTCTCAAATACACAGAAAGCTCAAAATGGAAGAATTGGGGGTGTGAAGGTGATTTACAAAGGTTTCTGAATGGAAACCACATTGAGTTTACTGGGTTAATGATTTACCTTTAAAGAGGGACTTGCTTTGGGACACTTCCACAGTACCCAGCTACTCATTTGCAATGCAAATACTGGCTTCTATGGGGAACGAGACATGAAACATCTATTTTGCTTGCCATGGTTCAACTGTTCGGGGAAACTGACTTGTCTCTGAAAGGTGTACTGTTTAGTCACAGATAACTGTTGGTGATATTCCTCTTTAGGTTGTAATAATTTTGTTAATTTCTTCCTCACAAATTGTACTTCTTTATACCCAAAACTGTAAAGAGGAATCAATTGTTCTAGCAAATTCTGTTTAATGAGCACTTCTTTCATTTTACAACTTAAAATGAATGCCAGTGAATGTATTTGGTGTTGTCTATAGAAACAGTAGCTGTATGATCCATTCAATAACGTATTTCACAACAAGATGGAACAATTTAGATAGTATTTCAAGATATTCATCTCATCCTCATGTCATCCCAAATCTGTTTCAAAACCTGAATTTCTTTCATCTGCAGAACACACAAACAATATTTTGAAGAATTCAACCTTTTTTGTCCATATATTGAAAGTCACTGCTAACCAATGAATGGGCATTGAAAACACGGAGACATTTTTCAAAATATCTTCTTTTGGGTTCCAGAGAAGAAAGAAAGTCATAAATTGTTGTGTAAATTATGACATAATTTTCATTTCATTTAGGCTAATGTTTGATTTGTTCTATGCGGTATCTTGAAATATTTGAATATCAAATACTCCGTTGTGTTTTGATATTCAAAGTACAGACATTTTCAGCCATATAATTCAGTTGCACAGAAAGCATACCTGCCAAGCATCTATATGTACCATGAGACTACATATGTACCTCCTGCCACGCAGATTGCAATAAGTGACCACCTGTGGCCGTTTGTTTTTGCCAGTGTGTGACCAAAGGCAGAGATGGCAGGCCGCACTCAGCAGGGAGACCTGACCGAGTACAAGAAGAGTCTCATTAAGCGGGACTTGGAGATGGGGATAGTGATGACAGTGTACAGACAGAGGATGGAGAGGCTTACCGTGCAGGTCATCATGGAGACGCGACAGGTGGCCTGGACGCGCACTGCCGACAAGACAGAAGGAGTGTGTGAGTACCTTGCCTCTAATTTCTTGCATTTACACTTACCTTTACATTTAAGCTGTACATTGTTTCTATATGTGTAAAGAAAAAATAATTAAATATACGCAGACACACACATACATACAAACGATGTTAGATGTGATTCATTTTAATTAATCGATTTGACAGCACTATTTATTAGATAATTAATACTAGTACTTTAATTACTTGAAAGTTATTGTGTCTCTGGATGTTACAAATATGTGGCCATATAAAGTGGCTTTAAATTATATTAAAAATTTTTTTTTTTTCATTTAGCAGACCAATGCATCCAAAGCAACATAAATGATGATTGTCACAATTTAAACAGTACATATATTCAAGGAATGCATTTATATTTTAAAGGAATATTTATTTTAAAGTTAAAAGCATGTTAATGTGTTTTTTTATTTAATTATTTGAGTTTAAGTTATTGTTTTACATAAATTTTAATGAATTACTACTATTTAAAAGTTAGGTGTCGGCTAGATTTTTTATTATGTATTATGCTCATCAAGGCTGCATTTATTTGCTTACAATACAGCTAAACTGTAATATTGTGAAACTTTATTACAATTTAAAATAACTCTATATATATATATAGATTTGGTGCTCAGGAGCCATATCTTATTATTATCAATTTAGAAAACAGTAGTGCTGCTTAAAATGTTTGTTGTAAAGTTTAAAAAAAATATATAAATCTTTTGTCACAATGTAAAAGTCTTTATTGTCAGAGTTTTACTTTTTCTCTCCAACAAATCTTTCATTTTGTTTCTTTTGTTTCTTTTAACTCCTTGTGCATTTTAAAATGTTCATACTCTTAATTTTGGTTATGATGTAACATGTCATGTGCCTTGTCATGGTGCTTCTGATATTTACATTTATTCATATATTTATATACATAAAAAAACATACATTTATATTTAATTCAAAACTCTTCCCCACAGGAATTATCTCTTTCTTTTTAATTAGATACGATCCAATGTTGTTTTAGTATTTTTTATACTATATTGTAGCATTTTCTTATATTTTTAATTAGCATTTATTTGTATATTTTCAAATATTTTATTTGTATATAAAGTTTTAATAAATGTATTATTAGTTTTTAATAGTCTTAATTTATTTTTACTTTATATTTTGTTTCCAACAATTAAAATGTTTTCTTTTATTTTATTTCATTTTTTTCTCAAGAAACAAAAACTATTTTTAATAGTTTTACTTTTAGTTAACTATAACAACTCTATGATTGCTGTGTGTTGATCTAAATACTGGCAGTATATACAGTATGTTTATGTTGCAATCTCATTTTTGCAGTGGACCTTTTTGAAATCCGGGAAGTACGACCAGGAAAAAATTCCAAAGAATTTGATCGATTCAAGGACACCAAGGATAAAAATTCAGACCCCAACACATGCTTTACCATATTCTATGGCTCTCAGTTTGTTCTCAACACACTCAGTCTGTCGGGTATGTGTGCTTTTTATACACCTAACGGATACGTTTTGCAATTTTGAACATGCTAGCAATAGCTATCTTCACAGTGCTCTCCAAAGCCACGCCTCCTTCAAAACACATGAACGCACACAGCAGTGCCTGCAAAACGACACAAGAGGATTTATTTATTTTTATTAGGTTAAATTACCCCATGTGTCAAAGCACATAACATTACAAGAATAATGAACATGAACATAACTTACAGAGCTCTAGTTGTACCACCTAACCTAGCCTGAGTTTTGTGACTCTTGAGGGAGCCACTTCTTTTCTTTCAGTATACACTTTAGATGTATTTGATATTTTGATATGTATAGACTGCATTAAAAAGCATGTTGCTTACCTGAGATAACGTATATTCCATATTTGGCTAGTTTAGAATTGACTGTTAAAGGAAGAACTTGATGGGATCCTACAATTTTCTGTGGGAAAGATTGTATTGTTTTTAACGCTGATAGTATTTGCTGTTCCACAGCTGATACTGTGGAGGATGCAGAAAAATGGCTGACAGGACTGGAGTTACTCAGACAGGAGACACTGGTGGCTCACACACCAGAGATTATAGAGAGGTACACACACACATTTACAGAGATACACCTTGTGTATCAATGAGCCGTAACCCAAATTATATGTTTGTTTCATTCTCTGTTTTCACTCTACTCTAGTTGGCTGAGGAAGCAGATGTACTCGGTTGATCAGACAAAGAAAAATAGGTTCTCCTCTTTCTCTTTCACCTGCTTATCCAGTTTCATTGCATTTTTGTCTCGACTCTTTACCCCTCTTTAATGCTCTTTCAAATCTCTCACAGCATTACCTTGAAAGAGCTCAAGTCTCTTTTGCCACAAATGAACTTCAAAGTGCCAGGTGGACGTTTTTTGAAGGACAGAATTTCGGTATGAATGATTCATTGTATACACTTTATCTTGACGGAAGTGAATGCTTTGCATCATATGAAAAACTTTATGGCAACTGAATAGGAACATTTCCTCTACTGATGTTGTGCAAATGATGATCTGTTTATCCACAAGTTTTATTATATACATAATACTACAGTATATATATATATATATATATATATATATATATATACACTCACCTAAAGGATTATTAGGAACACCTGTTAAATTTCTCATTAATGCAGTTATCTAATCAACCAATCACATGGCAGCTTCAATGCATTTAGGGGTGTGGTCCTGGTCAAGACAATCTCCTGAACTCCAAACTGAATGTCAGAATGGGAAAGAAAAGTGATCTAAGCAATTTTGAGCGTGGCATGGTTGTTGGTGCCAGACGGGCTGGTCTGAGTATTTCACGATCTGCTCAGTTACTGGGATTTTCATGCACAACCATTTCTAGGGTTTACAAAGAATGATGTGAAAAGGGAAAAACATCCAGTATGCGGCAGTCCTGTGGGCGAAAATGACAAAGGAGAATGGGCCGACTGATTCAAGCTGATAGAAGAGCAACTTTGACTGAAATAACCACTCGTTACAACCGAGGTATGCAGCAAAGCCTTTGTGAAGCCACAACACGCACAACCTTGAGGTGGATGGGCTACAACAGCAGAAGACCCCAACGGGTACCACTCATCTCCACTAAAAATAGGAAAAAGAGGCTACAATTTGTAAGAGCTCACCAAAATTGGACAGTTGAAGACTGAAAAAATGTTGCCTGGTCTGATGAGTCTCAATTTCTGTTGAGACATTCAGATGGTAGAGTCAGAATTTAGTGTAAACAGGATGAGAACATGGATCCATCATGCCTTGTTACCACTGTGCGGGCTGGTGGTGGTGGTGTAATGATGTGGGGGATGTTTTCTTGGCCCACTTAGTGCCAATTGTGCATTGTTTAAATGCCACGGCCTACCTGAGCATTGTTTCTTACCATGTCCATCCTTTTATGGCTACTATGTACCCATCCTCTGATGGCTACTTCCAGCAGGATAATGGACCATGTCACAAAGCTCGAATTATTTCAAATTGGTGTCTTGAACATGCCAATGAGTTCACTGTACTAAAATGGCCCCCACAGTCACCAGATCTCAACCCAATAAAACATCTTTGGGATGTGGTGGAACGGGAGCTTGAACTGCAAGATGTTATCCTATCAATATGGGCCAACATTTCTAAAGAATGCTTTCAGCACCTTGTTGAATCAATGCAACTTAGAATTAAGGCTGTTCTGAAAGCGAAAGGGGGTCAAACACAGTTTTAGTATGGTGTTCCTAATAATCCTTTAAAGAGCCCCTATCATAGCATTTGAAATGTTCCTATTTTTGTTTTAGGAGTTCCCAAAAACAGTTTAACGTGCATGCAAAGATAAAAAACACTTTATTTGTCTTATAATACGCATTTATTTTTAACTGATTTGCTCAACAACTACCAAATGATTCGTTCGACGATTCATTTTCCCCAAACACCTCCTTTGAGTGACGCGAATCTGCGGTGATTGGTCAAATGACCCAGTCAGTTGTTATTGGTAAACTGTAGGCAGAGACTGTCGGCAACGGAATGCCCATAACCAGGATTATAGCTTGTCAAGTGTTGAAAATTGTATATAGTGTTTGAACGAACGCGTCAGAAAAAGTGCACTTTCCATACGGTCCCTTACTCGCGTCTCCGTCAAGAGCAAGCTTTCCCGGTGAAACTCATATTGCGGCGGCTTTTGAGGGGCAGTGCTTATTATATAGAGCAAAGTCATATTTGGCTAAGTCGTTTAGTCGAATGTCTGGTGAATATCAAAAACAAAACTAACTTTACCCCGCTTAGAAGCTGCGCGGAGTGTTCACAACACACACAACACAATATAACTATATTGTGCATGCTACAGAAAACATAACAGCAAACATTATTAATAATACTTACAGATTGTGATTCGGAGGAGGACAAACCTGATCCATATACACTGGATACTGAGCCCTCCTTCAAAAACAACCAGCTTGCGGAATGCGAATCCACATTTGAAATCATTTAGGTTTTTAAATTTTGAATGATTCGTCATTAAAATGATGAGAACACAAGGTTCGGGCGTTGCAAATATGAACTCTGACCACTGATTCTTCACATGCTCGTCCCTGGACAATGGAAACAAGTGGCTGAACTGTCTTTGCAATGTAGAACACAGCGTCTTCTCGACATGATGCGATTCAGCTGAAGTATTTGAATGTGTTCTAGACATCACTTCAAGTTTACACTTCCGTATGCGCCCGCAGTTGTTGGGAGCGGCCAATGACCTATCTACGTCACGATGTAACAGCTAATGACACGTTTCAAAAACAATTCATTTCATAGACTCAGAGTCGACTCTCACTTTTGAAAGACAATAACTTTATATACAGTGCACTTTCAGATATACAGATAAATCTTTGCAGGATGTTTTCATTTCCTTAGAGCTATACATGAACAGTCATTTTCAAAAATCCATGATAGGTGCTCTTTAAGTGAGTGTATATATATATATATATATATATATATATATATATATATGTATGTATATAGTTTTTTTTCAAAGACATGTTTAGTTGGCTTTGCACTAAAAGTATCAACTTCATAATTTCAGGTGGTGGGAGCAAAGAAAGAATGCCTAGACTTTGAGCAATTTCACAAATTCTACAATCTTTTGATATTTGAAAACCAAAAGATGGTAAGAGTGCAGGTATTTTTTATATTTTAAAACAAAAAGATGGTAAGAGTGCAGTTTAGTTTTGCTGAATAAAATATACTTTGGGTGTAATTTATATAAATAAATTACACCCAAAGCATATTTTATTCATGCAAAACTAAATATATATTTACACTACTGTCCAAAAGTTTGGGGTCCATAAGATCATTTAAAAAAATCTTATACTCAGAAAAGCTGCATTCATACACTCAAAACTGCAATATTGTGAAATGTTAATTCAATTTGATATAGTTGTTTCATGTTTTAATATTTTTTTTAAGTGTAATTTATTGGAATAAGCTGAAAGACAAAGCTGAAAGCTGAAAAGTCAGTGATCCTTCAGTAATTATAATATGCTGATTTAGTGCTTAGGAAACAATTAATATCAGTGTTGAAAACTAATGTGCTGCATGATATTTTTGAGATTGGCAGATGGCATTTTAACTGTAAAACATTTTTCATTTAATTGAAATGGAAATATTTTGTAACATTAAAAATGTGGCTTCACTGTCAAGACCTTACTGAATAAAAGTATTGACTTATTTGGGGAAAAACTTTTGGACCCTTAAATTTTGAAATATAATTGATTACATACATATGTTGAATGTTGCTTGTAATTTTGTTAGATTCTAGAGGAGTTTAAAAAGGAGTCATGTGCTTTCATCATGGGGTAAGAAACTGTCCATTATTTTGGTTGAATCATTTTTTTAAAAATTTGCATCATGGGTTCATGCTAATGTTCTCATTCTTATAATTTTGTATTTTGTCTCTGCAGTATCAACGATCAGAATATTCAACTCTCCGATTTTCAAAGATTCCTTTTATATCAGCAAAGAGTAAGATTGATATATTTGTATCCTTCCTGCTCATCCACCCATGCATTAATCTAGCTACACACACACACATATATATATATACCTCTCATTCAAATTCTATTTGTTTTGTTAAGAAAATTCTGTGAATTTATTTTGTAGGATACATGGGCCAACAATGTGAATCAAGTCAGAGAGCTGATGACTATATTTATCGATGACACCATGAGGAAGACTAATGATCCTGCCTTCACTGTTGAAGAGGTACAGCTTATATAGAGATCTGTTTACACTATGCTCATTTAAATTTGCAGGTGATGTTTATAAAGATTTTCTCTATGTCTTTCTAGTTTCTCAGTTTTCTCTTCTCCAAAGAAAACTCAATTTGGGATGAGAAGTTCTCAGAGATTCGTACACTGGACATGAACAATCCTCTGTCTCACTACTGGATCAACTCTTCTCACAACACGTCAGTGCTGCTGTTCTTCATGTTCATGAAAACACATGCATCTCCTCCTCGTCATGATGAAGTTCCTGTGTTACTTTGTGTTTTGCTTTTTTCACAGATATTTGACTGGAGATCAACTGCGCAGTGAGTCCTCAACAGAAGCTTATGTGCGCTGCCTGAGGCTGGGCTGCCGCTGTATTGAATGTCAGTGAACCATACCCTAATTTCTACATAAATACTTTTAAATTCTCTGCTAAACTAATGCAGGTCCCTTTCTGCTTCATTGTAGTATGCATTTATAATAATAATACATTGAAATCTGAAATCAGTGGCAGTCATTATGATTTTCTTTTTTTCAATCCAGTGGACTGCTGGAATGGTCCAGATGAACCTATTATATACCACGGCTGGACCAGAACCTCCAAGATAAAGTTTAAGGATGTGGTTAAGGCCATCAATGATCATGCTTTTGCAACATCTGAGTTAGTCATCAGCAACACACACATTCACACATTTATTTGGTGACATTTTCTATGTTAGTGGGAAATGGATGTGTTTAACAAAACCATGGGTTATTATAGTGTGTCCTATATTTAAAAGCATTAAGCAGTTATATTTTGCATAAAGACAAATTAAGCCTATTTTTTATAAACTATTTGCATTGTGACATTATTTGTATGACAATAAAACAAAATTAAATTGCCATTACTGCTACATGAAAAAAATATATATTATGCCACTATATACACTTTAAATGTAAAGTGTTATAAGGCATGGGTTGAATTTATTCCCTTTTAGTCTGTCACGTTTGACATTACGTTGATACTGAAATATTGGGTCTCACTTGGGAGCCCAATCACCAGCTGGTAGTAAGAAACCTGGCCTACAACTCACTCATTTAGCTTTTTGCTTTGGAGTCGAGCGGTTGTCTTAACACGCTCTGCCATTCTTCTTCGCCAGAGAGGAGACATTCTTCCATTGGAAAAAACTGGTTTAGCCCCACAGAAAAGTGCAGCAATTCCACCCCTGATTGCTCCAACTTTCCCAGGCCACTGCGAGCATCAGGCTTGGTGGAACTCTCCACCCTGAACACTCATGGTTGGATGATTGGTTTCTTAGCATGGGTTGTACTTCACAGCATCGTCCTGCCTTGGTACCTTTATTCTCGGAGGTGCACGTGAAGGCCATAAAGTCGTGGAAGGCACCTTTCTCTACCTGAAGCCACTTCACTCTCACTACCCTCGATGGTGGGGCACCCGAGGGGTATGCAGAGATTCCTCAGGTGGAGTGTGGCTAGCACTGCCCAGCCTTTCTCATTGGCTCATTTGAATGATCAGACTCAGTTATTCAATTGAGTTTGCCCAGCTTGCTTTGCGCCAGATTGGACCTTTGTGGCAGGACAAGCATTGGTCCAGACGGACAACATTGCGACGGTGGCATACACCAACCAGCAGCTCAATCGTGCTGCGGACACGCTCTCACAATAGCTCACGCTCCCAAGAGAATGTAGACTTCATCCCAAGTGGTCCAACTGATCTGGAGTCAATTCAGGGACACACAGGTACTCTGTTTGCTTCTCCGGAATACTCCCATTGCCAGCTCTTTTACTCCTTGACCCAGGGGCTCCTTAGCACATATGCGCTGGCACACAGCTGGCCCAGACACTGTGCAAGGTCAGGGAGGACGGGTTTACTGGTCAACCCGGACGTGGTTCTCAGACCTGATGCTCCTCATTACAGCCCTTCCCTAGCGGATGCCCCTGAGAAAGGGGCACCAAAGGGCACCCACATCCAGATCTCTGGAACCTCCACGTGTGACTTCTAGATGGAACTTGGCACACTTAAGTGGCATTCCACTTGCAGTGGTGGACACCAACACTCAAGCCAGAGCCCCCTCTAACAGGGTAGCTTATGCCTTGAAATGGAGTCTATTTGTTGGTTGGTGTTCCTCCTGTCAGGAAGACCCCGTAAATGCCCAATCAGCTCTTTGCTTTCCTTCATGCAAGAGAGGTTGGGGCGAAGGCTGTCTCTCCCTCCACATGAAAGTACACGTTGCTGCTATTGCAGTACCTCACGATGCAGTGGATGGAAGGTCTTCGGGAAACCATAACCTGATCATCAGTTTCCTGTGAGGTGCCAGAAGACTCCTAAATCCTCCTCGGCCACGCCTCATCCCCTCTTGGAAGCTCTCTGTAGTACTTACAACTCTGTTGCTAGAGTCAGTCAAGCTTAAGATCCTGTCCCTTAAGATAGCGCTCCTGACCAAACTCATGTCCATCAAGTGTGTAGGGGATTTTAGGTCAGTGAAACGTGCCTTGAATTTGGCCCGGCTGACTCTCAAGTAATTCTAGGACCTCTGCCTTGAATATGTGCCCACCACTTTTCAAGACCAGATGGTAAAATTGCAAGTGCTGCCCTTGGAGAAGGCAGACCCTGCCCTCCCTTTGCTGTGCCCCGTCCGTGTCCTGTGGATTTATGCGGACCGCATGCAGAGCTTCTCTTTTACCTGGGCGTGAACGCACTGCGCCTTTTTTAGCAGACATCTGCAGAGCTGCGGGCTAGACGACACCAAATTCCTTTACAAGATTTTGTAATCTCCGGGTGGAGACAGTTTCTTCCTGTGTGTTGAAAATATAATAGGTAAGTGGTGGGAAAACTGTCTCAGAGTCCCATTTGCAGCTTCATTCATCCTCGGTGAGGGAGTATGAACGCTTATTTTTCTCTCCAAATGAGTATCCCAGCCGGCAAACCCTGGTTTGAGGTTCACCCTTGGCAGTCAGGCTTGGAAGAGGAGTCTAAATCCATGCCCAGTGATCCTGTACTGTGCTAGGTGCCCATATGTAGTAATCCCCCTCTGTTAGTCCCATAAGTGTATTTTTCCATGGTATGGTTTCCCTGTTGGTAAAACCGTGTCTTTCCCTTGACAGTGTCTGCTCTGTCACACCTCTTTATTTGTAGTAGTTCCATCCCTTTCCAGGTAAGACCTACCACAGTTTTGTTATGTAGTACTGCCCTATAGGTCCATATGTGTACTTCCCTATGTTGCCTCCCAACAGGTAGGGTGTGGCCTCCATATCCTCCCTTTCCATCTAGACTTGGCATGGTTCCCCAGTGTTATACAATCAGCCGTGGCCGAATAGGGTAAAGTAGAAAGGAACAGCAGCTATCAACCTTCCCCTTGTAGAGTTCTGTCCTTTCGTCCCACCAGGTAGTTAGGGCTTTTTGATTTACATGGGTGCAGGGGTCAGTGGTTGTGAAGCTTTCCACAGGAACCCCACATCAACATAATGTCAAACGTGACCAAAAGGGAACATCTTGGTTACTTTTGTAACCCTCGTTCCGCGAAGAAGGGAGCAGATATGTTACTTCCCTTCTGCCTCAACCCTCTACCTCCTGCTGAATGACGGGATCAAATCTTGGCTCCTCAGCACAAATTTAAATGAGTGAGATTCCGGTCAGCTTATATACCCATATGTCCGGGGGAGTGGCCTGGCATGTAAATTATTACCCGAAGGTGATTGGACCCCATACGTTAGTATCAACGTAACGTCTCCATTCCCTCCTTCAGGGAAACAAGGGTTAAAAGAGAAACAGAGAATACATTTATTTCACACTGTTTTTTTCTTGGAAATGTTTATGAATGGGTATACTCTTTGCAGGTATCCTTTGGTGCTATCCATAGAAGAACACTGTGACATCAAGCAACAGAAAATGATGGCTCAGGTGTTCAAAGATGTTTTCCAGGACAAGCTTCTGATGGAGCCACTGGAACCAGAAGCAGAACAACTGCCATCACCAACCCAACTGAAGGGCAAGATCATCCTCAAGGTAGAAAAGCATCACTGGAAAATCCTTCATCCTTTCAGGTTACAATGCAATACCAAGCCACACAATCAATGTTTTGCTACTAACCTTTTCATACAGCACAAGAAACTGAATCTTGATGGGACTTTTGGCAAAAAGGATCTACGAAAAGGAGATAAGCAAGGAGAGCTCTTCATCTGGGATCCAATAGATGAGGTACCAAAATCCAGTTAACATCATCATGGGCTTGTTTGGTCGTTTCATCTTATTTCAGTTGCCTTAATTGATTATGAGTGTAATTTCTGTGTGACTGTGTCCATGTGCAGAGATGGTACAAGCACTACTGTGTGATCGAGAACAAGACATTGTATTATGCTGAGGAGAATGAACTAGAGGACGATGTTGGAAAGGTAAATTACTAAGACTCATTTACAGAATGAGATTTACTTTAAAATCAAGGAAATAAACTGTAATTCAAATGTATAACTTATCAGTCGTCCCAGGGAGGTACAGAGCTTCATCAGTCAGAGCCCTGGTTTCACGGGCGGATGTCAGAGGGCAGACAGACTGCTGAGAGACTGCTGCAAGAATATTGTGCGGATTCGGGTGGAGTTGATGGAACGTTTTTGGTGCGGGAGAGCGACACCTTCGTCAATGATTGCACCCTCTCATTCTGGTAATGTAGGCCTGTTCTCATTCTCTTCAAAGAGGGAGGAAAGATTTTTTCCATTTTTTTCTCTTTATTTTATTTATTGTCTTTAATTTAGTCTTTAAAAATGGAAGAAATAGGGAAAATGCAGCATATGCAGTTGATATGGCCCATATGGGTCATTCCTACTATGCAGTACATTTTCATGTCCCATCATAATGTTATGATAAAATACTAGATAAAATATTAATCTGGCAGTTGTTTAAGACTCAAATCAGAATCATATTATTTATAACATTATATTTATTTTAGCACAGTTTCACCACAATTAAGTGAACATGGGGTAAAATGTTTTATAGTTTTATTTTGCTACTTTAGTTTGTCTATGCGGCATTATCCTGACATTATCACACAGGAAGTGACAATATTTGGTGGGGCAAAACAACAACACATACATCATTCAATTACAGCAATATATTTGTAAGTGACAATATTTTGTGGGGTAAAACAACAACACATACATCATTCAATTACAGCAATATATTTGATGATGTCATTAGCCACCGCACTAGACATTATTATTAATGGAAGGAGACGTGGTGTGTTATCCAAACATTAATGCCATGGAAAGACATGGAGTTTTCAGGTGTTTCTCCCTCATTTCTGCTCCAAGGTCTTGATTGTGGCATTTCTTTGAGGTTTAGAGTCCAGTAGGTTATTCCTGTAATTATGGTTTCTTTTATAAATTGAATACTGTCTCGTATTAGGTCTAACGGTCAGTATACTTGCATTCGTTTTCCCTTATTTAACCCGTAATTGCAAAACGAAAAATGAACGGTTGTTGTATATTTAAAACCCAAAGTTGAATACCAACATTTTAGTTTGACCTGTAGGCCTACACCAACACCTACACCTACACCTGTTTTATTTAATTTTACAAAAGCACAACGTTTTCTTGTTATTGTGAGATTACGCAAATAAAAGTAGTTTTGAAATAAAGTATTATTATTTTCTGTATGACCAGAAATAAAGGGGTATTTTAAGTTTTTTCCACTGTTGATAGGAAAATGCAAGTGCTCACGCCCGCACCTCCCTGCCATCCAGTGCGCTCTCCACACTCCGCACACACACTTGGATGTACGTCAAAATCTTTTGTTTTAAAAGCGTATTCTACATATGTAGCCTAATAAATGTTATAATAATGATGATAGTTATTATTATTGTTTGTGGATACGGACCCAAAACACACTGCGTCTTCTAAGTCAGGTGACTGTAAATGCGCAAAACTCGTTTCCATTGCAGTTTTGTGAAATATTCCTTTTTCGAATTGCCTGAAAAACCTCCTCATGCGAGCGTAAAAACTTTTTTGCGAATCTTTGCGAAATTGACGTGTTCCCATTTAGCGTATTTTCATTTCACAATTTCAATTTGCGAAATTTACAGAAATCAGTAAGATGTCAACATTTCAACATTTCAAAGATGGATAAAAATATCTGGATGCCAGCCAAACTTAACCCCGACCACAACATTTGAGGATGGGAAGTTCAGTCTCACTTGATTCGTTGTAAAGCAAGTATGCCCAAACCAAAACTGTTTGGACCAATCAAATTGTCAGGGCGGGCTTTATACAATGATGGACAGATTATCAAGAGTAACGTAATCATCCACGTAACCAAAGGGTGCTTGGGTTGAATTCGTTTACAACAAAGAATGGCTGCCACTGGAGAATTTAGATGTGTAGATTCAGCCATCGTGTCTGTTATAGAAGATCTAGACAGTGCATTCATTTTAAAAGAGGAACAGAGAACTGCTATCAAGGCATTTGTCGATCGGAAAGATGTTTTTGCCATCCTTCTTACGGGATTTGTTCTATCCAATTAAGTGCAGAGGCATTTTTTTTCCTGTTTCGGTTGTAACGCCCCATAATCACAGCCCAATGGAGCAGAATCAGACTCACATTCTGACTAGAGATGACATCAGGCTAGATAAAAGGGATAGGTTATCCAAATATGAAAATTTTGTTATCATTTACGCGCCCTCAAGTTATTCCAAACCTTTATTTATTTATTTCTTCTGCTGAACAGTGAACACAAAAGAAGATATTTTGAAAAATGTCAATAACCAGACATTTGATAGACCCCATTGACTTTTTTTCCCCTACATATTTTGTTTGGTTACCGACATTATCTTCTTTTGTGTTCATTAGAAGAAAGAAATTCATACAGGTTTACAACAACTTGAGGGTGGGTGGGTAAATTACTGTATGACATAATATACAGTTTTGGGTGAACTATCCTTTTAACTTGAAATTGACACCTTCTTTTGTTAGCTAATTCACAATACCTTTTTTTAATGTAATTTATGCTAATTTAAATAAGTCTTGGCATAATGGCATAATGTATTTCACAATGACATCATCCTCCAGGAAGTTTCCATACTCTCAATTTCTCACGGACCAACGGCTAACTACAGCACTTTGTTTATCTTGTTAGTTTAGTTTTCGTTTACATTGTGTAAATGATTAATAATTAAGACATTTATGTGCCTGATGTTGACCAAAGTCTATTTCTGAAAGAAATACCCTTCCATTAAAGTGTATATGGTGCTGCATAACAAGAATGACCCATATTATTCATATTAATGACTTTTTTTTCTTTGGTTACAATTATACAGAAATGGACATTTTGCTTAAAAAAAATTTACTGTGTGGTCTTTGCAGGCGCAGTGGACGAGTTCAGCATTGTCGAATCCGTTCCTGCATAGATGGAGGTCACACCGTCTATTTCCTCACAGAAAACCTGCATTTCCCCAGTGTGTATGCACTCATCCAGTATTACAGGGAAAACCTGCTCCGCTGTCAAGATTTCTACCTGCGCCTGACCGAACTTGTGCCTCGACCAGACCAGCACCTGCGTGAAGGGTTAGTCGATACTTGATGTGCACAAACAACTTCATGGTGTTTACCACATCCCGGCCAGCAGGGCTGTAGAAGACCACGTGGTCAGGCTTGCAGCTTCTCCTAACACTCACTACAAAATGCAGACACAGCGTAAATATGAAGCTGTGGTTTTTTTGTCTTTAGGTGGTTTTACAGTAACTTGAGCCGAGGTGAGGCAGAGGACTATCTCATGAGGATCCCTCGAGATGGAGCCTTCCTCATCAGACAGAGAGAAGATTCAGACTCTTACGCCATCACCTTCAGGTGCTGCTTTGTTTTCAGTCTCTTCGTTAGCATTGGTTTTTAAGATTTAAGGTTTTTCAAAACACGTAATCCCTAGTATTACTCAAATACTTATTTTGTCCATCCATTCACATCCCATCATGTGGAGAGATTGTTTATAAATTCATGTCATTTTATTAAACCAATTAATAGATTTCATTTACTGATTTAAATATATTATTTAAAAACAACTAATCATTTAATAAAATAAATAATAACTTTTTTGATACTTTATTGGGTCACCACTTGATTTCCAATACGAGTCCTGAAGCAAAATGTGCTGTTACTTTTCTAAGTGGTTTTCAAACAGACAAAATCAAAAAATCCTGGATCATGGGATGCTTCATGAACCATTTATAATTTAAATTATTTTTCATTTATTATTTAAAAACAAGTATTTTAAACCGTTGAAGTGCAGTAAGCAGTGAAAGACAGCTCATTTTGCTATATGCGCATGCTGTCAGAGAGACTGTTTCTCATCGCTGTCTGATTGACACGCACATATAAAGCTGCTGTTCATAAAGTGGGAGAACTGAACTGAGTGCTTTTTGCCAACTAAATGAGCTTGAACGGTTAAATACACATGATTATGTGTCAAAGACTTGACCATGTATTTGCAAGTAAACATTGTGATTTATGTCTTAAAGTGACCACATCCAAATTTACCTGCTGTCATTATTAAAGGGTTAGTTTACCCAAAAATGAAAATGATGTCAGTAATTTTTACTCACCCTCATGTTGTTCCGACCCCGTAAGACTTTCGTTCATCTTCGGAACACAAATTAAGATATTTTTGATGAAATCTGAGTGAAACAGAGTGAAGATTATTGATTACTAAAAAAAACAAACAATCTTTCCACTGCATAATAATGACCAGTGAATTTACATTCTAAGTATCTAGTTAATGTTCTAATGTGTGTTTTTAATGGGAGATTTGTGGATAGAGCAATTAATTTAGATTTATACGGAAATTTTTTTTGTAAATTAACTGTAATTGTTTAAAAAAAACTCAAAACTGGGGCAAAGTAGCTCGTTGATGTTGGTGTTTATATTATTTAGTTAAATTATTATTGTAATTCATTGTGGGTTTTATTTGCTGAAACAGAGGTGAAGGGATGGTAAAGCACTGCCGGATACACAAAGATGGATCCATGTACGTGCTGGGCACCTCTAGTGAGTTTGAGAGTCTGGTGGAATTGGTCGACTATTTCAGAAAGAAAGCGTTATATCGGAAGATCAAACTCCGCTACCCAGTCACACCAGAACTAGTTGAGCGCTTCAGTTCGGTGAGAAAAAATATTGTTTCTTTTGGAACAGAAAATCCTTTTTGGTTACTTTATTTTAAGGTGACTGTGTTACAGTGTAAATAGGATATTTAACTACATGTACTTACTATTAGATAGGGATTAAAGTTTGGTTTAGGATTAGTTTCATGTAATTTTGCAGAATTTATAGTTATTACTATGTAATGTGTAACGAGGACACTGTAAAATAAAGTGTTACCCACGTTTTATACAGCCCCATACTGCATACTGTGCTGAACACTGCAGGGATTGTTCAACAGTTTTTCTTTGAATGCATTGTCTGCATACACTCTTCAAAGTGAACAAGGTCATGTGCACCTCTTCCTTTGCTACGGCCACAGTTTGCATGTTACACTTGCATCATTTTATCTGTTGTAGCTCTTTTGGTTTCTTCTCCTTTTTTCCAATCAAAGTTCAGACCAAAAGTTCTGATTTAGTTTAAAGGGTTAGTTCACTTTGAAATTAATTTTTGATATGTTTTAGCTTACCTCAAGGTCATCCAAGATGTAGGTGTCTTTGTTTCCACAGCATTTTCAATTTTGACATTTTTTGGTCAAACCGTTGTTGTCTGTCAGTCATATAATGCAGAGAAGTCCAAAGTAAACATGATTTAATGACTCGTAAATGTAAGTACACGAAACGAGCGGTTTGTGTGAGAAAACGAACAGTATTTATATAGTTTTTTACCTCGTTAACAGCCGTCGAAATGATCTGAATCAGATGTTCAACTGAACCGAACTGAACCGCCTCCAGACGTTACGCCGCAAGTGATCTCTCGCGCGTCTACGTCACGCATTGTTTACACGGAGATTTCGGAAGTTTTACCTTTCATTAAACATATTTAGATATATCGAAATCGTCTTCCATTGCGATTTCCCGTATATCTAAATATGTTTAGTTTTGACCAAAAAATGTCAAAATTGAAAATACTGTGGAAACAAAGACACCTACATCTTGGATGCCCTTGAGGTAAGTTAAGCTAAAACATATAAAAAATTAATTTCAAAGTGAACTATCCGTTTAACAAGTATAATATGCAGTCTTTTTTCACTTCTTGAGGATATGCTAATGTTTTTACCCTCTTCCCGTGGCTGGTGTTAATTAAAAAAGTAACAAATAATTATTTTTTAAATAAATGTTTCAATAAACTATTGAGTCACCACTTGCTTTCCAATACGGGTGCTGAAGCAAAATCAGTTGCGAACCACTGATAGAGCACAGAGACTAAACAGACATATTATATGAAATGTGTAGATTATAGATTTTGCTTGGCTGTAGTCTAATGTGCAGGAAAGAAATCTCTAAGAAATGCTTTATTTCTTCCTTTTCAGATAACCAAAACTGCTTCACTTTATGATTCTAAACAGTATGTGGAGGCCAACGAGATAGAGCCATCTCTGGTAAGCACTTTGAAGAGCAAACACAGCTCCTACATGTTAGTATGCACAAGAGGTCATCTTCTGTGGGCTGGGGAGGAAGTGGTGATGCTGGCTATCTCTTTCTCTCACATAGGAAACTGATCGTCTCAAAAGAGGAAATGCAGCCTGCGATGTCATGTTTAACCATAAATGCTTCATGTTTCTAGTTCGATGTAATTCACAAATTCCCTTTAAAGAGAATTTATTTTAGCCTTCACACTCTTTGAACCACTGAGGCTATGTGTGGGTGAACAAAGTGCATTTGCAGATCCGTATAGCAAGATTGAACTTGTTTTGTTGCATTGCAGCCCCAGAGCACTGTGAAGGCCCTCTATGACTACAGGGCCATGCGGCCGGATGAACTCTCCTTTTCCAAGGGCTCTTTAATCCATAATGTGACTAAGGAGGCAAATGGATGGTGAGATTATTTGTATATAATGTGGTTAAAAGCAATAAATGTTCTATTTAGCACTGCAAAAATTTGATAAATACCATGGTACTAAATGATTACCACATACGTGTACCACAGCATTTACACAATACTCCAAGGTACATTCTAAAGTTTGGGGTCGATTTTTAAGATGTCTCTAATGCTCAAGACTGCATTTATTGATCAAAATTGGTAGAAACAGTAATATTGTTTTCTATTTACATGTTAAAACCCATGGTACTTTTATTTTAGTGTAGCTTTGTGGCACATAGATGCATTATTGCTTTTTTCTGCCAGAAAAAGATTATCATATCACTCTTTTGTGACTCTAAAATTACAGAGTGATTTGAATCGCTTACATTTTGATAAATTCACCAACATTTAATATCCCTGTTTATCTGCTGATGCCTACAGGTGGAAAGGAGACTTTGGTGGGAAACTGCAGCACTATTTCCCTTCAAATTATGTCGAAGAAGTGGCCAATACATCTGATGCCAATTACCAGGTAAAGCATATTAAAAATGTGGATATTTAAAGGGACGCTCCACTTTTTTTGGAAATAGGCTCATTTTACCACTCTCCCAGAGTCAAACAGTTGAGTTTTACCGTTTTCGAATCCATTCAGCCGATTTTATGATATTTAGAAGAATATCCGTAACCAGACAGTTTCTGGTCTCATTGACTTCCATAGTAGGAAAAAAATACTATGGAAGTCAATGAAACCAGAAACAGTCTGGTTACTGATATTCTTCTAAATATCAGAAAATCGTCTGAATACATTCGAAAACAGTAAAACCCAACAGTATAACTCTGGGGGAGTTGTAAAATGAGCATATTTCCAAAAAAGTGGTATAGTATAGTATTTTGCATGCTTATTTGCTCACATACATAGAGAACATCTACAACCGATACTCTGAACATCAACATTAGATGTTCTCTTTCAGCCTGAAGACGAAAATCCATTAGGTGACTTATGCAAAGGGGTAGTGGACATCTCAAAGTGTACTGTTGGTAAGATGATTTATCTCCAGGGCCATTTAACACCTGTACAGCATATGACTTTGTTAGGCTCAGACCTATTTTGAACTCATTTCTTCATTTCCAGTTCGCTCAGCCAAACATGGCAAACCTGTGGTGGTGACGTTGCAAGATAAGGAAAATAAAGAGAACATGATGCCATTTGATTTGGCCACCGAGACCACTGAGGAGCTGTACGAGTGGTACCAGGTGGCCTGGGACATCACACAGAGAGAAGAAAACCGAGAGTTTGAGGTCTGTCTCAGTCGCTCACGTTTGGATCTTAATACGTGTCCTAAATAGGGCAAACCGGGGCTAGTTGTCACACAGGGAAGCTGTCACAAGTCACTCATTCTATAAATATTGGATTGGTCGTTTGAAGTCAGATTTAGGGGGTGTTTAAATGCTAGGTGTAGCCCTAGAGAGAACATTTATAGCATTCTAAGTATCTAGTCAAGTATTTAAAGCTGCAGTCTGTAGCTTTTTTTGGGTTAAAAATGATCCAGAATACATATTTGAGAAAATGCATAACCAGCCAGTGTTCAACTCTATCTGCTTTCGTAGCTCGTTTCAAAGCGGTAATAATGTTTTTATTACGGTAAAGCGGTTTTAAAGCGCTAATAATGTTTTTGTAATAATGTTTTTAACCCCAGTGGTACTGGTGGATTTCCACGGTTCCGCTGTACACATAAAGAAGAGTCTCGGCTAGTAGGCTATATTGCATATGTGGATGTTGGAGGTGAAGATTTATAGCCTTTTCTCACAGCACTTGATTTAAATAAACTTATCAATTTGATGGCGGATCCAGAAAGGTTAAAACGGGGGACTGCATAACTGCGGACTGCAGCTTTAAAGTATAATGTTGGGCAAGAGTTTATGAATGTTTACAATAATTTCCCATTGCAGAAAATAAAACAGAGGGAGGTCGAGAACAAAGAAGAGGTGGCCAGCGAGATGTCTGAACTGGTTGTTTACTGCCAGCCTCGCAGTAAAGACAAGGACCGCTTTGGTACAGAGAATTAAATAAAAATGCATTTATACATATTTACACAAATATGAAAATATATGCACTACCATTCAAATGTTTGGGGTCAGTATTTTTTTTATATATGAAATTAACTTTTATTCAGCATATATTCGTTAAATTAATCAAAAGTGGCAGTGAAGACATTTATTACGTTACAAAATTTTATTTCAAATGCTGTTTTTTTAGCTTTCCATCCATCAAAAAAATCCTGAAAAATGTTTTCACTGTTACCACAAAAATATTGAGGAGCACAACTGTTTTTAACATTGATAATAATGAGAAATGTTTCTTGAGCACCAAATCAGCATATTAGAATGATTTCTGAAGGATCATGTGACACTGAAGACTGGAGTAAGTGTCTTTGGCATCACAGGAATATATTACATCTTAAAATATATTAAAATAGAAAACAGTTATATTAAATTGTAATAATATTTTACAATATTACTTTTTTAACTGATTAGACAAATGCAGCTTTGGTGAGCGACATAGCAGACTTCTTTTAAAAAACATAAAAAAAAAATCTTACTGACCCCAAACCTATATCAGCTGTGTATTAACAATATGATTACCTTTCCCTTTCAGATAATTATACCTACAAAGAGGTTCGGTCCTTTGTAGAAAATAAGGTTCCTTCCAGAAACAAGTCGACTCAATTTATGCTGTATAACCGCAAGTCGCTGAGCCGCATCTACCCTAAGGGCCAGAGGGTGGATTCTTCCAACTATGATCCGTATCCACTATGGATGCTCGGCTGTCACATGGTGGCACTCAACTTTCAAACTGCTGGTAAGATGAAGTGTGAAGTTCAGGTCTGTAATACAACAACTATCTGTTAACATTCCACACATTGCATAAGCAATCTGGTCATGGACTGTTTTCTGTTCCGCCATTTTTTTGTTACTACCTGTTTTTATGTGTTTTAATGTTTTGTATGTTGCATGCTATGTTGTGGTCAACAAAGTTAGGGATGTCCTGCCTCTCAGACTGTAAAACTAGTTTACCTACAGGTACCAATAATATATAACCTAACCTAACTCATCTCAATAACAGTTCTTTGGCTAACGTATGACCCCACTTTAAGTATATGACCTGTGATTAGCCATTTTAGCTCATGGGCTTTAATCACATTCAATTTATTCATTAGTCAATGCTTTTTGACAGCATAATGGTGTAGTTATGCCATGCATCTACCAGCAGGGGCAAGAAAACTACACCACACAAATCAACCGACCCTTGACCTCTTCTGTAAAATAGTAAACAAGGAAGAGAGGAAATTACTCAATGAAAGGTTTTATTGAAATTCTAGTTAAAGTTTAAAAATGTTTGAATAAATGGGTAGAGTATTAGACGGAAGCAGGGAACATGGAAAATAATGTAAGAATGGTGAGAAGGTTAAACAAAGTATTTGGTAACATTTTACAATAAGGTCTCATTTGTTAACATTATTCATGAACATGAACTAACAATGAGCAATTAATCTTTGTTAATCCCAGTAAAAATCAAATAATTCATTGTTCATGTTAGTTTATAAATGTTAACAAATACAAGTTTGGATTTTAAAAATGTTTTAGTCAATGTTGAAATTAAAGTGTTAACCATTATTTAAAGATAAAAATGTGAAATAAAGGAAACAAAATGGGTTTCCTTTATTGGGTTTCAGACTGTGAGTGTAAACATATTTACAGAGAAAAATACAAACTTTTTTTTAGTCATTCAATAAATAATTTAGTAAAACAGCATTTACTTCTCTTCTCAGATAAGTACATGCAGCTGAACAGCGCTCTCTTCAGTCTAAATGGAGGCACAGGATATGTGCTGCAACCTGAGATGATGCGCAGAGACTCCTATGACCCTCATCAGGAGAAGAAGAATGTCAGATCTACTCTCGCCATCAGAGTAAGACATTTAAACAGAATAACATTAATTTAGTCCGAGTCTGAGAACTGAACAAGAACGGTTTCATTTTAATAAAAGAATTGAAAAGTCTCTTGTTTTTGTTTTTTTGATGCTCAGGTGATAGGAGCACGACATCTTCCCAAACCAGGGCGAAGCATTGCCAGTCCCTTTGTGGAGATTGAACTGTGTGGCCAAACAGAAGACAACAAAGTCAAGACTACCGTCTGCCGTAAGAAGCGGTCTTGTTTTAATATCACTGAGATACTTTTATAGTTTTTATTCATATTTTGAATTGTTTTACAATTTTTGTTTTTATATATATTTTCTAACTAGAATCTACATGAACTGCTAACATGCTAAGATTTGTGTGTGTGTGTATATATATATATATGTACACACACACAAACCTTAGCATGTTAGCAGTTCATGTAGATTCTAGTTAGAAAATATTTAAGAAAAAATAAATATATATATATATTTTTTTAAATATGTCCACAGATGACAATGGACTGAACCCTGTATGGCTCGGGCCGAACTCTCAGCCTTCAGAGACATTTACTTTCAACGTGTATGAGCCGGACCTCACCTTTCTACGTTTTGTGGTCTTTGAGGAAGACATGTTCTCTGACCCCAATTTCCTGGCCCAGGCTACATTCCCTGTGAAAGGCATTCGCTCTGGTAAGTCCGTCAACAATGCCAATTTTTAATTTTTTTTTGTGAAACATTGTGCAAATGAATACAGATTTAAGTTTGAGTACAAAAACTGAGCGTGATGCTTTCACAGGGTACAGATCAGTGCCTTTAAAGAATGGATTTAGTGAAAACCTGGAGCTGGCAACTCTATTGGTGTATGTTGACATTCAGAAGGTGGAGGTAAGAAACACCTAAATTTTATAAAAGAATTAGGTACTTTTGTTGATGATATGGAATATCTAATTTTGCTTTAATGAGGATACTCTGTTAGTGTAATGGAAATTCCCTGTCTGACTTATTTCTTCAGAAAGCACAGGAAGAACTCTACTCTTCCTCAAAACAGTTGCAAAAGAAGCAGGCGGAGTTGAGCAAAGAGTTCTGCCTCTATGACACTCACTCCAACCTGCAGCGCGCCGCGACTCCTAATCGGCGCGAGGACTTCTCGCAGGAGTTCACTTACTCGGAAAAAAAGTGAGTGTATGAAATAGCATGGGTGAATTTAAACATCACACCCTCTGTGAGGAGGATATTCATATCTGTCTATCTTTGTCCATACAGGTTAAATAAACAACAGCAAAAAATAAACAACAGCAAGTTCTACTCATGAGGAAAGCAAGAAGTCTAGTTCCCTCCCGGCCTGGTTCTAATGTTCTTAAGGGTCTCTTCCTCTCCATTCTGCTGCTCTATATAACTACTGGTTCCTTAAACAGGCTGCAAAGACAGGAAGTTGCAGCCATCTCTCTTTTAAGGTCACACTGGAATAAATCAAAAAGTGAATTTGAGCATACTCATCAGTATGAGAAGATGTTTGACCAAAACTTAGAAGCTGTAAAACTTTTTAAATTGTGGGCATAAAAACTGCATGAAGGATTTTTGTGAGTGTGTGTGTGGTAAATGTGAAACTGTTAATCTACTACCTATCGGTTTGTAACATTTCATTTGTAGCTGTATTAAACTCTTCCTTATTGTCTTAAAATATAAATAACAAGACATGTTATTTATTTGGTTTCTTTCTTGTTTTTAATATGAATATTTGTTGAGGAAGTTTTATCATGTGTTTACGTAAAAGTCAATTCATACACTGACTGACACCGACCGACGCGGACAATCACCTGACCAGACATTATGCCACTTCTCAGACATTCCACAACCTGACAAACTGGGATTGAAAGTTCAATCTGTGATAAAAAAGCACCGACCATTGCAAAAAGCCAGTACAGTGTAAATTGGCCTAAAGGGATGTTGTAGGCTACACGGAAGTACAGTGCGATATTCGTTATTGAAATATAGACCTTATGTAGCCCCGCCCCCTTTCAGCATTGCATTCGTTGTGTTCTGTCTTCCTGTTTATTTCCACAACATGAAGGTAAGATCTTACAGACTGATGACACCTGTTTTAAAAACTTCCCAGTCTGCTGACTTTTGTAAGAAGTTCAGAGACAAAATTCTAAAGATGGCTGCAAGCTTGTCTGGCATAAGGTCTAAATATATTTTTTGTATCTGTAATGACTACATTAACTACACACCAAATAAATATGCGAAGAGTTCAGATGCAAAAGCCTCTAAATGCCATTTGAAATTTTCTTCTAAAATGACCATTTTTATCAAGCTTGTATATTTAAGTTCAGTAATTTCACTTAAATGACAATTAACAGGTAATCTTCATTGCCATTTAAGTGAAATTACTGAACTTAAATATACAAGCTTGATAAAAATGATCATTTTAGAAGAAAATTTCAAATGGCACTTAGAGGCTTTTGCATCTGAACTCTTCATGTGCACACATGAAATATATATATATTTTTTAAATTAAATGTACAATGTACATAACATTTGGCCTATGAACAAGACAATCAACAATAAAAAAAACTCAAGAATCAGGTATTCCATAGAGCCATGTATAAACCTAATAAAACTACCAGTAAAAGTAGATATAGATAGACTTCAGTGAAAAATCTTGGTGTAAAAGTTCATTACAGTAGTTCATGAAGAGAATGGTGATGCAGTGTGACAAAAATGTAAGAAGCCTGCTCAACTTTGTATTTTATGCTGACTTAAAAGTGTCTGCTTAAAGTCTGCTACTTCAGATAATGACTTAACTCAAAACAGTTCTTGGCATATATCTGACTTCATTTCATAATCTTTAATGCAAGCATGTATTTTTTCATCTGGGCAAAAAGTTTGACCGACTTTTACATTAAGCAATTTCCTAGACAGGTTTGCTGTATTCTCCCATTGAGTCTGAATACTGCAATGAGAACATTACAGTACTGAAAATAGTGTTTGTCTGTGGATAAATGAGATTGATCAAGATAAAACAACAACAACCCAGCAAGCAATTTTGCATTTAAAAGACTTCTAGACACAGCCATGATGTCTAGGATAAAACAAGGCAAAATGTGGGCAGTAAACATGTCTAAGCATAGACCAAGAATAGAAGAACATAGAGCATGTCAAAGAAATGAAACCAAACACCTTGTAATCACTGTTGATTTCACTTACATGATGTAATCTCACAGATCTCGAAAGTTGTTTTGTTACAAATTTCAAGGTTATTTTGGCTAGAAGTGAGCTAGTCATACTTTGACTATATCAGACTGTGAAATGACGCCTAATTGCTTGCTGGGAAAATTCAACACTGTCTCAGTTAAATTAATTTGTTTTATATTATCATATAGTGCCGTACCAGTGAGCTGTGAACTTTAAGGTTTATCAATAATTCGAGTGATTCTATGATTCTACTTTAGGAGCAGAAACAAAAAAGAAAAGAACCAAAACTTTAACATAGATGATTTTTTTTTTTACATGTAAAATAAATAAATAAATAAAGGTTTTAATTAACAAATTGATTTATAAATTTTAGCTTAAAATATCATGTTTTATTTACTGGTGCAGCAAAAAAACATTTTTCAAATGTGGTGATTTTAAGACCTTGAAACCTATTTATTAACCTAAATTAAAGTCCTATAAAGGGTATTTTTGGGGGGAGGGGGCCTTTGATTTCTCTTTACAGGCCTAACGTTTTACATACTCTGAAGATATCCTGGTTATACAGTTACAGGTATTCTAAAATAGTCCCATAATATTGTCACCAGTATGCTCAGTGTGATTAGTTTTCATGGACTTTTAAGTTTGCATTCTTCACCTGTTTTTTTTTTTTTTTTTTTCTTTGTTTTCCGCCACTGATACAAATACAAATCATTACAGCGGCCATTTGTCTTTTAGTTAATCATCTCTGTGTATTAAGTTCCTGCAATTCTGTGCATGGTCTGGTTTATGTTAGAGGTTGTGTTTTGTTTGCCTGCCTTTTTTGGATTGCCTTCAAAGTGGATCATTAAAGACTTTTAAAACTTGTTCATTGATCAACTTGTGTGATAAGGATGATATTGAGTAAACAACGAAGGCATTATTCCGGTGAAAGTGAATAAAAAGTGAAAGTGATAAAGTGAAAAAGATGCGTTTTCAAACGAAAATGTATTAGTGTGGTCAAGGCTTGAGATGATTCAGATGATTCTAACATCTAAACTTGCTTTGCCAGTAACAGAGGGTGTGGGTGGATACTGTTTTGCACAAACTGAACCACACTTGACAACTGTTAGTTGAGAAAATTGCACATCAGACATCTCTCACACAATCTTTTTTCTTCCAGTAAAATCAATTTCTTTTCACCAATTCCTCCACCCCCTGGTTTTAAAGCAATGTTCATGCCACTTACAAATCTTACATGATTTTACATATCTGTTTAAAAAAGAGCTTTCTTAACATTGGTTTGGAGGCCCGTGGTCTGATAAATACGGATATTTAATATTACGTTTAAATCAATTCACAGGTAACTTAATGAAGATTATTTGGGTATTTCTTGTCTCTCTTGTCCTCTGGAAATTTTTGCTTTTCATCAAATAAGAAAGCTGTTTATGCCTCATGATGTGATTTTTCTCAAGACCTGGTCTGGAGAATAACCAATAGAAGTCTTCTTGTCAGTTCTCAGTTTGATTTGTGCACTTGAACTGGAAGGTAAGTCTGAATATAGGCTACATGAATATTCTTACTTTTAATGCTTATCATACACATAAAATACATTCTTTAAAAAAAAACCCAACTATTTTTAGAGTATAGTTGCTGAAAGTAGAGAATGATGCAAAAGCACTACTTCCTTCATGGGAAATTAGGAAGCTGTTAATCCCACAAGATTGTGTCTTTTTCTCAAGAACTGGTTGGACAATAACCACTTGACGTCATCTTGTCATTTCTCAGTTTGATTTGTGCACAGAAACTGGAAGGTAAGTGCGTCTGGACATAGGTTACATTACATGAATAATCGAACATTTAACAGAATTATTGCTTTCATAAGTATGAAATATATATATATATATATATATATATATATATATATTTAAAACATTGTGTGTGTGTCAGATGCAGTGATGATGGGTAGCAATGAGCGGGTTGAGCTGACAGAGGAGGAGAGGAGTCGGATTATTAAGCATCTGCAAGCAGGGACTGAAATGATGGTGTTTCAGCAGAAGGCTGAGAGACTCACTGTCCAGGTCCTGATGGAGACCATGCAGGTGGCCTTCATACGCTCCGGCGACAGGATAGTCACAATGTGTACGTTTTCTCCTTGAACGAATAGGCTTGACACAATGCAGTGTTTAAGCTTAATTATTCAAACTAATTATTGAATCAAACAGAGTAATGCTTTTTAAAATAGCAGTTTCACAGACAAGGCTTAAGCCTAGTCCCAGATTAAAATGCATGTTTGAGCTGAAAGCAACTTGCACTTATATATCTTAAAATATGTCAGTGCCATTGTTTTGTCTCAATATGCGCACCAGTAATGTTTTTTTTTTTCCTAAGGCATGTTTAAAAGCTATTAAATGTCAAAATTTAACCCTTTGATGCGCAAGCTATGGATGCACAACATGGGTCTAGAAAAGACCGTATTCATTTCCTATGTTATTTCATAATGATGACCCATCTAAAATGACCCATCTATGCAAGCATGATAAAACAAAAGAATAAAAAAAACGTTTTGTTAAAATAGCCAATTTCACAGTTGTTTAGATCAGCACATTTACTGTATCACTTGAAATATGTTTATTGGCACACATAATACACATATAACCGATAACAATGAAATTGAACTGCAGTGCAACTGTATCTCCCCACATTTAATGCGCTGCATCCACCCGGATGATGCGACTGCAGCCATAGTGCACGAGAACGCCACCACACAACGGCTTATGTGACCGATAGCATCGATTTATGACCACAAATAAAAATGAATATGGAGGTACAAGGTTTCTGCCCAACAGCGATAATATATACTTGTATATATATAACTTTCTATTGAAACTTTTATTCTGTTGACCTAGCTATTAGAATATGTCGACCGCAAGCTGGCTAATATTGCTAAACATTAGCTAAGTTTGTTTCTCTTTTGCACTAGTAATGGATTTCAAGGTCAAGGTTATAATTGTTCAAATGTCTTTTACAAAATATCAAATATTTTCTGTGACAAAAAATGCATTAAATAAAACTTACATGCATGAAATATACAAAAGCAGCCGTGTTGAATTGTGAAATGTGTGGCAGGTGAATAGTTTTCTGAAGTAAATATATTTATACTATTTACAGTACAAATATCAAAGGTTCCTATGGGTCATAATTGATGTAGAAATACATATAAAAACTTATTTGTTTCTAAAGTAAGAAAGTAAAAATAAATACAATGATTTGTGGAAATCAAAAACAAGATATTTAATGAATTAATAAATGATAAAATACATTTCTTTCAAATATTTAGCAAAGAAACATGAAAATGGGTGTTTTTAGACCCATGTTGCGCATTAGAAGGGTAGTGACACAAAAACGATTTTTATTCGAAAAGTAAGAGAGGGAAAATTTAAATAAGGATTTGTAATGATCTAAAACAAGTTCATTGAGGAATAGCTGGAATACTGAATGATGAAATTAATTTCTTGCAAAGAAAAAGAAAATAAAACCTAAGTCAGACCCATGTTGTGCATCAAAGGGTTAAATGTTCTAATTGAATTTGAATAATTTAGGCCTAATTATGGCTTTATCTAAGCCCTGTTCAAAGGTATAATTATACTGAAGATACAATTCACTGAATAATTGCATTTTGTTTGTATATTTGCAGTGGACATTTTTGAGATCAAGGAGGTTCGCCAGGATTTCCAGCGACTCAACGAGAGCATGGGGAGTATATTTCGAAGAATCTTTCGACAGTCTGAAAAAGAGATTCAGCAGGACGGCAAAACGTGTTTCACCATCTTCTATGGATCTGAGTTTATTTTAGAGTCACTGAGTCTTAACGGTATGCAAATGTTTCTCACACATTGTAAGAGCAACTCTTTAAAAAAATGTTTACTTCTATTTAGCAAAGATACATTAAATTGATCAATAGTGACAGTAAATAGGCTACATAATTAATGCTAAATAAATAAATGCGGTAACACTTATTTTACGACCCGCAAACAACTGCGCAAGTTCACCAAAATTACGTTTCTGTAATTATACCGTACTTCCATGTAGGTATAAGGGAACAATATGTTAAGTTTTGGGTAATAAAGGGGTAACAAGCAGATATACAAGCTAATTTTTTATAATGTAATTATTGTAAAACTAACAAACTAAAAATTGTACATCTGTTGTATATAAAAGTTATCATCACATTTCAAAATATGTTCTTGTGCAATTTTACAGGGTAATTTTAACATCTGTGGGATGAAAATTAAACGTGTGTATATATATATATATATATATATATATATATATATATGAAGAGTTCAGATGCAAAAGCCTCTAAGTGCCATTTGAAATTTTCTTCTAGAATGATCATTTTTATCAAGCTTGTATATTTAAGTTCAGTGATTTCACTTAAATGGCAATGATAATTACCTATTAATTGTTATTTAAGTGAAATTACTCAACTTAAATATACAAGTTTGATAAAAATCATCATTAAAGAAGAAAATTTCAAATGGCATTTAGAGGCTTTTGCATCTGAACTCTTCATATATATATATATATATATATATATATATGGCTGTATGAAAGCACAGTATGATAAAAAATGAATTTATTGACTTTTCTTACTAGATTAATTAATGTTAAATCAACCCACAGATGGCAAATTAAATGTAAAATTAAAAAATATATATATAGCCTATATATTGCCAGAAATGTGATGATAACTTTTATATACAACAGACGTACAATTTTTGCGTGGAATGTATGAACATAATAGGTACCTGTTAAAATAATTACATTATAAATTATAAATTTGCTTGAATAGCTTGTTACCCCTACCGTATACCTACACAGAGGAACACTATAATTACAGAAACAAACGTACACCGTAATTTCGGTTTACTCACGAAGTTATTTGCAGGTTATATATCTGCCTATTACCCCTTTATTATCCAAAACTTAACATATTGTTCCCTTATACCTACACGGAAGTACGCTATAATTACAGAAACGTACACCGTAATTTCGGTGTACTTACGCAGTTTTTTGCGGGTTGTAAAATAAAGTGTTACCATAAATGCTGTTCTTTTGAACTGTGTCTTCATTAAATAATCCTAAAATATTAAGCAACACAATGGTTTTCAACATTGATAATAATAAGAAATATTTATTGAGCAGCAAATCAGCATATGACTGGACTAATGATGCTGACAATTTTAAAATATATTAAAAGATTGAAAATTTAAATTGCACTAATATTTTTACAATATTACTGTTTTTAGTTTGCTAGCTGTTGGAACATCATATGCATATTTTTCACCAGAAAAAATTACCTAAAGAAGTTAGTATTTTTGGTTGACCACAGAAGTCTCGTTGGTTAAGATAACTAAAGAGTGTGATAAATAAAGCAGCACACGATCATCGCCAACATCTGTAGAAAAAGACAGCATGATGCTGGTAAACAGCTTTGCTAGCAAGACTGGAATGGTCCCTATGGAGCACCTGGGGTTACATTATGTCTTCAAGTGTATCCCGTGGGGAACAATCAAGATTTGCTTTTTGCAACCGTCTCACCACTTCATTATGTCCTTATGATAGTGTTGTTGTCCCTCATTCTGTGATGGTACGCTACTATAACAGTGAATGTTCTCAGAACTTTTGCTAGCATTGTGGTAGGTTAAGGTTCTCTCAAATTAATGAACATACATCCTAATTAATAAAATATTTGTCCTAAGTTATTCGGTTTTTAATTATGTTTTCATTGATGTATTTAAGCATAATTTATACATTGTTCATGTAACGTTTTTACCTGAAATGTTAGTTGGATGTTAAACATTCAAAACTTTCCATTATGTTTGCAAAATGATAAAATGCAATGTTTGCATAACCAAAAACATTTTTAAAAGTCAAAACTGGATATTTTGAACATTCATAAATAATGTTTTTATGGATTAATGCGAACGTTAGCAAAAAAACGTTTATAGAAAATATTTTGTTGGGTATTTGTCTCCCACAGCTGATACTGTGGAGGATGCAGAAAAATGGCTGACAGGACTGGAGTTACTCAGACAGGAGACACTGGTGGCTCACACACCAGAGATTATAGAGACGTAGGCCTACACACACACACACACTTACAGAGAGTGTACCTTGTGTATCAATGAACCGTAACCCAAATTATATGTTTGTTTTATTCTCTGTGTTTCACTCTACTGTAGTTGGCTGAGGAAGCAGATGTACTCGGTTGATCAGACAAAGAAAAATAGGTTCTCCTATTTCTCTTTCACCTGCTTATCCAGTTTTATTGTAGCTTATCACCCAGTCTCACTGTAGTCATCTGTTTCTTTTTCTCACAGCATCACCCTGAAAGAGCTCAAGTCTCTCTTGCAAAAAATGAACATCACTGTGCCAAGTGGACGTTTTCTGGAGGACAGATTTGTGGTACAAATAATATTGTATCACTGCATATCACTGAATTCTCAGCCCATTCTCACCCCCAAGGCCTTTGACCATGCTTCAATAACTGATGCTTTAGGCGCCCTTCAGCGTCAGTTAGATGACGCCCTAGGATCGCGTCATGTAAGTGACGCTAAAGGGCGCCTAAAACATCAAATATTGAAGCATGGTCAAAGGTGACGCCTTGGGGTGAGAATGTGTTGGAATTCTACATTTATGTTAATGCATTCGGCTAATGATTTTACTCAAAACAACTGAAGATGTACATTTTATCTACTCCCTAAAAAGTAGATTTAATGTTTTAATTTTTTTTTTTTTTGCTTAAAAACACATTTAACGTTGTCTGAATGTTGCATTTTCAGGAGGTGGGAGCTAAAGATTATGTCCTGGATTTTCAACAGTTTAACAAATTCTATAATATTTTAGTATTTGAAAACCAGATGACGGTGAGTTTCAATTCGTTTTTTTTTTTAGTAACTTTTTATTAAATTCGTATTTGACTATCAATTCCATTGTATATGAATGTTATTTGTATTATTGAATGGAACATTTACTTGTTTTAAACATGATATAAATATTTAAGAGAAGTAATTTGTAAAACGTCATGACTAATTTATATTATTTTAATAATTTATTAGTTGCTTGAAGAGTTTAAAAAGGGGCCTGCCCCTTTCACAATGAGGTAAGTGGTTCAGTTTGGTGCTTTAAATGGGCCATATCATGGGAAATTTAATTTTAGGCTACTTGTTGCTGCAGTCCGTAGCTTTTTTTGTAAAATGCAAAAGACTTCATTCGGACTTCGAAGTGGCTACAGAACAAAAGAGACTGCAACTAGACCCATGCAAAAACATGTAGTCACGCAATACTGATGTTTTAACAATTTGAGAACAAAATATAATTTGCACGGTTTTTCGTGATATGATAACTTATAAGCGATTGTTAGATTTAATCAGCTCGATTTACTGCAATGTTTGAACCAGAACAAAAGTGGATGTTTCTTACTTGTTCAGATGACATTTTCCGGTGAAAATTCTTATGTTGGTCACACTTCCAAAAATAATAATCTGTGATTCAGAATACCAGCATCTACACCGCACGGTGACTGACAGTCTCACAGTCTCCTCAAACATTGTGTTCATTCGCGCTGTGCCGTGTCGAGGGTGTCGACGTACAACTCACGTAAAGTTGATAATTCCGCGAATGACTGCAATTGCAGATTTCGAACAGAGATGGCGACAAAGAGGAAAAGCTATGGACTGCAGCTTTAAATAAAGTTAAATGTACCATGAGAACCAAATTGACCTTTTTTCTATGTATTTCTCTGCAGTAATACTGATAGGCCTGAATCTGCTGTACTTCCCCTCTATGATTTTCAAAACTTTCTTTTACATAGACAGAAGGTAAGACTAATGTATATTATCTTTTATCTACAGGCGAAACTTAAAAAATTAGAATATCATCCAAAAGTTAATTTATTTCAGTAATTCAACTTAAAAGGTGAAACTAATATATTATATAGACTCATTACATGCCAAGTGAGACATTTCAAGCCTTTATTTGTTATAATTTTGATGATTATGGCTCACAGCTTATGAAAACCCCAAATTAAAAATTGTAATATTGTGAAAAGGTTTTCATAAGCTGTGAGCCATAATCATCAAAATTATAACAAATAAAGACTTGAAATATCTTACTTTGCATGTTTTATATCATATATTAGTTTATAATATATCATATATCTATATCATATATTAGTTTCACCTTTTAAGTTGAGTTACTAAAATAAATGAACTTTTGCACGATATTCAAATTTAGTTTGATGCAAAATGTTGGGGTCAGTAAGATTTGTTTAATGTATTTGAATGAAGTCAGTCATGCTCATCCAAGGCTTTATTTGATATTGCGAATACTGTGAAATATTAAATATTATAATTTAAAATAACGTTGTTTTTTTTTAAAGAGAAATTCTCCCGTACTGCGTAATATCTTACGCTAGGGGAAAACCTCTTGTCCACGAGATATTGAAACCGAAAATTATGGTTAATTTTGGTTCCCGCCTTACAGGCTAAACTACATTCGGTCTAAAGATCAGTACTGTCTCCCCCGTTACCTCGCTTGAGCTTGAGCACCCTTCACTGATCGATAAAATAACTCCATGGGCAATGAGTAAGACCCATACTGTTACCCAGTTCAGGCCGAACATTTTCATCCTGATTGTGTGGAATACTGTTTATGTGATTAGCTTGTGATTACTTATTGGGAATGATGCTTAAAGCCTCTCTGTGAGTCCCTGCACTATATGAGCCCCGGGCACCTGCCCTTGGGACTTTGGTTTTGGATCCCAGCACGCACAACCTCTCTCGATAGGCTGCTGCCGCAACGTGTTTTACATTAATCCAAAACTAAGGATAATTTTTGGCTTAAAATCTCGTGGAAAAGAGGTTTTCCCCTAGCATAAGATATTACGCAGTACTCGTTCCCTGTTCTGGAGAGAACCAAGGTTACGTATGTAACTGAGTACATTTTCTATTTTATATATTTTAAAATGTATTTTATTCCTGTGATTACAAAGCTGAATTGAATTTTTAGCATTATTACTCCAGTCTTCGATGTCACATGATCCTTTAGAAATCCTACTGATTTGGTACTCAAGAAACATTTCCCTTTGTTATTCCCTTAACATATTCCTTTTTTTTCTGTCTGTAGGAGGACTGGGCCAAAGATTTTAATAAGGTACAAGAGTTGATGACCATCTTCATCGATGACACCATGAGGATGTCTAATAACCCAAAGTTTACTGTTGGAGAGGTACAGGCTAGAGATCCGTTTAGTTTGACTTCCTCACACCAAATAAATATTTTTCTGCACTTAAACAAATCCATGCAATAACTCCCTTTCTTTCTAGTTCCTCAGTTATCTCTTCTCCAAAGAAAATTCAATTTGGGATGAGAAGTTCTCAGATATTTGCCCACTGGACATGAACAATCCTTTGTCTCACTACTGGATCAACTCCTCTCACAACACGTCAGTGCTGCTGTTCTTCATGCTCATGAAACACATGCAGCTCCTCTTTGTCATGATGAAGTTCCTTTGTTACTTTGTGTTTTGCTTTTTTCACAGATATTTGACTGGAGATCAACTGAGCAGTGAATCCTCAACAGAAGCTTATGTGCGCTGCCTGAGGCTGGGCTGCCGCTGTATTGAGTGTCAGTGTGTTTCTCAGACATTTTATACTAAACTTTATATTTTTATTCCAGTTTTGCTTCATAATCATGTAAGGAATAATGTTGAATAATTATATTTAAGTGGTAGGCCTACCAAGATTTTTAGTTGTTTGGATACTTTTAAAGCTCCAGTCCGTAACTTTTTTGGGTTAAAAATGACCAAAATAAATGTTTGAGCAAGTACTGTACATAAGCAGCCAGTGTTCAAAACTAACTGCTTGGCTTAGAAATCAACAGGAACGTCCAAGGCACTCTCTTTAGAAAATTTAAAAAGCCTTTATTTCTATGGCTTGGTCATAATCAACACTTTTAAAACACGCATTTCAGCATACAATCCTTCGTCCGGGAGTACACATAGGCTATAGGAGTCTCGGCTAGTAGGCTATATTACGAATGAGGATGTTGGAGGTGGAGATTTATAGCCTTTTCTCACAGCACTTGATATAATAAAACTTATGAATTTGATGTAGGATATAGAAAGGTTCAGACGACAATCACCAGTGAACAGATTCAACTGTTGTAAAATGCAAAAGACATATGGACTTCTGAGTGGCTACAGAAAAAAAGACTGCAACCTGACCCATGCGAAATGGCATTAAATGTAGTCACGCAATGCGGATGCTGTTAACTAACAATTTGTGATTCTTAATGACAGTATCCACACCGCGCGGTGAATGACAGCTACACAGTCTCCTGTAAACATTGGATTCATCCGCGCTGTATTATGCCGAGGCACAACTTATGTTAAGTCGATAATTCCGCGAGTGACAGCAATTGCAGATTTCGAACAGAGATGGCGACAAAGAGGAAAAACTGCTTTTAAATAACTTTGAAAGTAATGCAAAAGTACTGTAACATTTATTTCTATAAAAAGTAAATAAGTAACGCAGTGTTATGGTCTTGAAGATGAACCCAAGCGCAGACAGAATGCAGACAGTTTATTTATGTTTATTCACCTGGATGAGGCTTGATCTCTTCCAGCCCTAACAGGTGTTTTTTTTACTGAGTTCTGAGTTTGAATTCTAAGGCAGTAAACAAAACCTATATTACATACATTTACATTTTCTTTTCTAAAACACATATAGAATATTATTATTTTCTGACCACTTGGAATATTTCCTGACCCTTAGAGCTATGTGTACCATACTAAAAATCTCTTAACATTAAAGGGACTGAACCCAAAATCTCACCCTTATATTGTCTCAAACCTGTATCTGTAGCCTGGCTAACCAAATTCTCGTTGAGACTTGGGTCTGGGTGGGAACCACATGCACAATTTCTCGCATTTGAGGCCTGGTTTACGAATGCCAAAACCGCCGTTTATTGGGTGCTAGGTAGCACAAGGAGTGTTTGCTTATCTGCAATATTGGACGTTTCCTGCAGATGTCAAATAGACGTTTAGAAGATGTCTCTAAGATATAATGATTTGTAATGCATGTTAAACTGACATCGATCTTATAAACGTCTATTTGACATCTGACAGGAAACGTCCTATGGACATCTTGCAGATGAGCAAACACTCTTAAAATACGTCTTCCAGATGTAAATAGGACATCAAATACCCTAATGTCTAGTTTCAATTAGAAAAACACAAGTATTAAGTACAGTTACATAGATGTTGAAGTTGTTATTTGCATTGAAAATTGTTTGCGCTTGTACTTCACAAGTTAAAAATTAATAAATATTTAATTTAATGACTAAAGTGTCAACAACTTTAATCGGGTACGTGTGCACAGCTGAAATTTATGCTACTAAAGCGGTAGCTGTATATTTACATTGAAAAGCAACACAACTGGCACTGTGACAACCAGTAGTCTACAGGCATAATGACAATATGATATTAATAAATTCCACTTACCATTTATAAGTTAAATGGACTTCGTGTACGACGATGCCTAGCAGGTACTCCGTAGCTAACATATTTGCCACTTTGAGCTCATCCAGGCCTCGGGAGTCGGGACTGCCAAACAGAAGTTGGTATCGACAATTCTTTATCGCATTTTCTTTCTCGGGACACGGCTGAGCGGCAGATATTCGACGTTGACCGCCTCCTGTACCTGGTCCTCCATTACGGCAATTAATGGCGAGACAACAATAACGACTGGGGTCTCGCGAAGTTTAACGCCAAAAGCTGCTCTTTTTTCAAAATAAACTTGCATTCTAAACTAACGTTACTTAGAACAATATCTAATGCTGCATCAAAAGGTAGCTTCGCGTCTGCTGCCATGATATAACAAACTGCTTCGGTTCGGGGTGCGTCATCGTCTTGCTGCTCCCTTGCCGTTCTGTGATTGGTTCCCTAAATGAGGCGAAAATCTGGCCATGGTATCCAGACTACCTTTCAGCGTGAATAAATGGCGCTACGGTAAAGCAGTATGGGGAAACCAAGACTAGTATCTATGAGTTTCTTTCTTCTGTTGAACAAAAAAGATGACTTTCTAAAGAATGTTGGCAATCAAACACTTGACAGTAGCCATTGACATCCATAGGAAAAATATGTAAGTCAATGGCTAACGTCAACTGTTTGATTACATAATGCATGTTACTTGTAATGCTTTACCCCCAAAACTGGTTGTAATTAATATTGTTTTATATCAGGCCCTATGTTATGTTTTGTTGTGTGTTTAATGCAGTGGATTGCTGGAATGGTCCAGATGAGCCTGTCATCTACCATGGTCGGACCATAACCTCCAAGATAAAATTTAAGGATGCGGTGAAGGCCATCAATGATCATGCTTTTGTAACATCTGAGTTAGTCATCAACAACAACAAAACACATTCAATGACATTATCACTGTGCATTGTAAATGTAACATTCAACACTTTTATTTAAATTCCTTTTTGCAGGTATCCTGTGGTGCTGTCCATAGAAGAGCACTGTGATATCAAGCAACAGAAAATGATGGCTCAGATGTTACGAGATGTTTTCCAGGACAAACTTCTGACCAAACCACTGGATCCAGAAGCAGTGCATCTACCCTCACCAAACCAACTGAAGGGCAAGATCATCATCAAGGTAGAAAAAACCTTCAGATTTGTCTGTTCATGTAGTTGAACCAACTTTAAAAGGAAAAAAAACTGCTTCAGTTTCCAATGTAACATGATTCATGAAGATTTTAGAGTCATGATATGGCAGACAGAGAATATATTTTTTAGTTTCATCATTGTTTCAGTGGATGATTGTCTATTTTTTCTCTCCAACAGCACCAAAAAATAAAAGAGAGCGATTGCATTGATAAGGTATGCATGACACCCTCCTCAAATAGAGCTCAAAATGAAAGCAGTTGCTTATCTCATTCATGTAAAACCAGTCCCAGTTTAATTTTTACCGATTTACTCACAGCATTTGCCTTACCCTCAATAAATGAAATTTCAGAAATTATTCAAAAATCCAAATCTTCAACCTGCAAATTAGACCCCCTTTCTACTGTTCTTGTGAAGGTCATTACTCCTTTTCTGTCCCCTCTCATTACAAACATCATTCATTCTTCTCTCACCACTGGAATTGTTCCTTCGTCTCTTAAAACTGCTACTGTATCTCCAATTCTTAAGAAACCTGGTTCAGATCCCAACAATCTAAATAATTTTCGTCCTATTTCAAATTTTCCATTCATCTCCAAAATTCTTCTTTTTCTTGAGCAGAAAAAATAGTTGCTGCTCAACTTCATACTCATCTTTCCAACAATAATCTATATGAATAATTCCAGTCTGGTTTCCGTCCTCTTCATAGCACAGAAACGGCACAGAAAATTCCTATCTCTCAAGCCACACTCAGTTCATTCAGTTAAAATCATTCACCTCTCATTCAGTCCCTGTCATTACAGGAGTGCCCCAGGGCTCTGTCCTGGGACCCCTGCATTTCATTATTTAGTTCAGTTCCATTGCTACGCAGATGACACCCAGCTCTATCTAACCAAACCGAATTCAAAACTTCCACCATCGTCCTTTACTAACTGTCTTCTTGACATAAAATAATAAAAAAGACTCTAACCCTAACCTAATGTTTAAACAACATCCAACTCTGATTTGTTTTGGAAAGCTGTTATTCAGTAGATGAACTTGAAAGATCAAACTGATTACACATTAATGGATCTCATTTAATTTCTGTCCTCTTTCTAGCATATAACTGAATAAATGCACATTTATGCACATGAGTTTTTTTTTACATTTGTTTTTTTAACATATAGTATGTCATATGTAATTGTATTTGCTCTGAACAGCTGGAGGAAGAAAAGGGAAACGTGGCTGTGAAAAGAAAATTAGACAGCTTCAAGAAAATTGGAGACATTTACAGAGAAACGCTGCAAGTGTTTGAAACATTGGTATTTTTATTTTCCATTAAACAATTTTAAAAATAAGTGTCATAAGAACTGAATGAGGTTTTAAGCGGCACTTTTTTATATCTTCATATTTAACTGCAGATAAGAAATGCTAAAGAAAACACTGTAATGGAGAAGGAAGGCGAGCTTTGCATCTGGGATTCAATAGATAAGGTGTTTTTAATTCATTTAAATGGAATTGCTTTTTTTGCTGTCCCTTATTCATAGTCAGATAATTCATAATATATATTTTTTTCTAATGTAGAGGTTTTACAGACATGACTGTGTGATCTTGGATAATAAGCTTTACTATTCAGAAGAGAAGTGGGAGGAAGACAGTACTAAGGTAAGGGAAGAAGATTACAATAATTGTCTTTGTAAAAACAGTCAGTTCCACTCAAGACACTTTGAGAAATTGTTCAGTCATAAACTCTTTTTTTGTTGTTGTTGGAAACGTCCAGGACGGTTCAGACCGGTACCTGTCAGAGACCTGGTTTCACGGACGGCTGGCCGGGGGCAGAAGAACCGCTGAAAAACTCCTGCGTGAATTCTGTAAAGGGAGGGATGGAAAAGATGGAACGTTTCTGGTGCGAGAGAGTGACACGTTTATTAGAAACTACATCATCTCCCTCTGGTACCCTGCACATCCTTTCATTATTCTTATGCTTTTTTTAAATGTCTTTTTAAAAGTTTTGAACCTGGGTCCTAATTGAATTTCCTGCCACACCTGTGCCAAAAAAATGTATTGCATATAATACAGAATCTTACATTATGTGGTCCAACAAAGGCATTTTTAAGTTTATATATATATATATATATATACAGTACAAAAAAATCCAGAAAAACACATTATATAAAGGTTTTTATATTGATTAGCATTTAATCGAGTGAAATAAGTATTTCCTACCAACCAGTGAGAATTCTGCCTCTCACAGATTTGTTATGTGGAACAGAGATCAATTAGGGGATCAAATACTTATTTCACTCAATTAATTGTTAATCTATTTACAACCTTTATATATTGTGTTTTTCTGGATTTCTTGGTTGATATTCTGTCTCTGTCCATTCAAATAAACCTACCATAAAAATGATAGACCCGTCCTTTCTTTGTAAGTGGGCAAACTTAAAAAATCAGCCGGGATCAAAAATGATTTTTCCCTCTGTATTCTGTTAAAATGTTTTTTAGACTGATCATTTTCAGAAAACAGAAATAATGTTGAAATAATAATATACTGTATGCTCTCGGTAGGACGAGTGTAAGAATTCAGCACTACAGAATCTTCTGGTTCTCAGAAAATGGCCACACGTCCTTCTTCTTGACAAACAAGCGGTGTTTTCCAAGTATGTGTGCCTTGATCGAGCATTATAGACAAAATCTGATTGAGTATGATGGATTCAACTTGCGTCTTACGAATTTCCTGCCTCGGCTCAATTTTGTTTCTCACCAACATAGGGGGTAAGAAGAAAACATGAATTTCAGATGAAATCTTAAAACACTCCTTCATACACACAGATTTCAATTATATATATATTAGGGCTGTGCAAAAGTTAATTGCGATTAATCGCATCCAAAATAAAAGTCTGTGTTTACATAATATATTTGTGTGTGCTGTATATAATTATTTTGCATATATAAATACCTATGCATGCATGTATATATTTAAGAATTATTTGTGCTTAAATTCTGTATATATTTATAAATACATAATCTATATTCTATAAATATAAATATTTGATATATGAATAACACATTTTCTTAAATATATACATGCATGTGTGTGTATTTATATATATCAAATAATTATATACAGCACACACTAATATATTATGTAAACACAGACTTTTATTTTGGATACGATTAATCGCAATTCATTTTTGCACAGCCCTAATATATATATATATATATATATATATATATATATATATCGTCACGGAAACTAGTAGAAACATCTGGAGATGTCTGTGTTGTCGTCTTTAGGTGGTTTTACAGTAACCTGAGTCGAGCCGAAGCAGAAAACTATCTTCTGAGGATCCCTCGAGATGGAGCCTTCCTCGTCAGACAGAGAGAAGAGCCAGGCACCTTTGCACTTTCAGTCAGGTTTTTTTCCTTTTTATTTCCTTACTATCCTCATATAGACATTACATTTGTTCTCTGTTTGTATCTTAATTTGTTTATTTGTTACTCAGAGCTGAAGGGGATATCAAACACTTTCTGATATGCAAAGACAACAGCAAGTATGTGCTGGCAGACACCTACGAGTTTTTTAGCCTTGAAGACATGGTCAGGTGTTTCCGTGAAGACAAGATAAAACTACGCTACCCTGTAACACCACAATTAGTGGAGAGCTTCTATAGGGTGAGAGAAGAGCCAGAGGGCCACTTCAATTATTCAGATACAACATTGTGACCATATAAACGCTGCAGTTGATAACTTTTTCCTTTGCAGGAGGATCTCTCAGCATATGATAATGAGATGTACAGTGAGGTATGTTTGGCCCTAAAAGTATTTAGAAACTTAGTATAAGTTTATAATATCCTACATTTTAAGGGTATCTTAAAATATATATATATATATATATATATATATATATATATATATATATACTGTATATAGCAGCTGACCATACATCTAAAAAGGGAAATGTTGGCCAACTTGTTTCGGAGAAAAACATTTTGTGATTGGGAAACATTAATTTTTAATTGTTTTTGAAAGAAGAATCTTATGCTGACCAAGGCTACATCTATTGAATGAATATAAATGTAATGTAGATGAATGAATATCAATTTATATAATTAATATTATATAGTTGAATACTTGAATACTTATACTTACACACACACACACACATATATATATATATATATATATATATATATGTGTGTGTGTGTGTGTGTGTGTGTGTTTAAAATGTTTTCAAATACAAATGTATGTATATTTGTATATTTGAATTGAGCTCAGTGATTGTTTCAGGTCGCTGAAGACAATCCCTTAGGTGTCCAATGTAAAGGTGTGGTGGACATCTCTATGTGCAATGTTGGTAAGTGTTTCTTTGTCACCTGTGTGAATTGATTGTACACACACACACTTTTGCTTAGTTGTGTGACTTGCATAAAAAACTCACCAATTTTCAGCAGATACTGTAAGAAAGTCATCAATGTCCTACGAAAAAAAAACCCTTATGGTGAACAAATTATAAATTAAGTCTGTTTCTTGTTTCTATCTGTTTTTATTTTAATGGGTTCTCCTCAGCTCGCGAAGCCAAACATGCCAGACACCTCGTGGTGACCCTAATGAACAAGGAGAATTTGAGGCAAACCGAGTTCACGTGTGAGAACTTGGAGCAGGTGGACGAATGGTACCAGGTGATTCTCAACATCATCCAAAGAGGGGAGAGTTTGGAGAGGAGGGTTCGTATATCTGTCTTTCACACAAACTCACATTCAATTTCTGTTATTGTGCTTGATTATGAAATGTAGTGTACTGAAATTTTCTGCATACTGTATATTTATATAGTTTTGATGACCAATACGTCCTGTGAATAATAGAATATCTGTGCACTGACAATATCTCCCTTACTTCTCAAAATAGAGAATAGCAGAAATGGAGTCCAAAACCAAAATAGCAATTGAGATGTCAGACTTGGTGGTGTACTGTCAATCTATCAAGAGCACATTTGGTATGTAATTTCCAGAACAGTGCGTGAGCGAAATCTGAAACAAACTACAATGAAAAGCATCTGTACTGCATCTAACACATCAACATAAGCAAAACAATTTCAAGGCCCCATTTAAAACATTCCAGAAATGTTTTGAGGTGAGTGAACCGGACATTTCATTTCATTTATTATTCCATTCTGCACTTTTATGACCTCTCAGAAAAATACAACTACAAAGAAGTTCGCTCCGTCAATGATCCCATGATTCCAAAAGAGGGGAATGAAACTGACGAGGAGAAATCAGACATCATTCTGGAGTATAACCGCACAGCTCTCACCCGTGTGTATCCCTCCGGAGGGCGAGTTGATTCTTCCAACTTTGACCCTTGTCCTTCATGGAAATTAGGCTGCCAAATGGTGGCTCTCAACTTCCAAACTGCTGGTACGTGAAAGAAGAAAGAAAGAGAGAAAGAAAAAGATCTCTTATGCTTACCAAGCCTGCATTTATTTGGCCAAAAATACAGTAAAAACTGTAATATTGTGAAATATTATTACTATTTAAAATAACTGTTTTCTATTTTAATATATTTTTGAAATATAATTAATTCCTGTGATGGCAAAAGCCATTTCTCCAGGCCTCCAATCCTCAGTGTCACATGATTCTTCAGAAATTATTCTAATATGTTGATTTGTAGAAAACGTTCTTATTATTATCAATGTTGAAAATGGTTGTGCTGATTAATATTTGATAATAATTCATGATATATTTTTTGCAGGATTCTTTGATGAATAGTTTGCTGTCACATTTGATACATTATTGTGTTCTTCTTGCAGAATTAAATGTATTAATTTCTTTAAAAAAAAGAATTTATATAAAATTGATGTGTGTGTAATGTGTATATATATATATATAACTTGAATGTGTGGCTTGTCTCATCCGCTTCCAGTTATTTTAGCTGTACAAAAACAGTCCCTTATGCTGCTTGAGATTGTAAACGGCTATTTTTACATTATTTTAATTTATTATCATAATCATAAACATTGTTTGGAGCGCAAATTATTTTAACATTTACTGCATTTTTTTAATTTTTTTTTTTTTTTTCCAGTTTTCCAATGTTCATACATTGATATGGGAGTAACTAACCTATCTACTCCAGGGGGCGATAGAGGGTTAACAATTCTGTTTGGAAGGAATGAAAGGCTTCACCCAAAAATGTTAACTGTCATCTTTTACTCACCGCCATGTTGTTCCAAACCTGTATGATTGTCTTTCCTCCGTTGAACACAGAAGAAGATTTTTTAAAGAACATTGGTTACCAGTTTTTCCCACTATGGAATGGCTATCCTCAACTATCTGGTTACAGACATTCTTCATATCTTCTTTTGTTTTCAATAGAAGAAAGAAACTCATACAGGTTTGGAACAACATGAGGGTGAGTAAATGATGACAGTTTTCATTTTTGGGTGAATAATCCCTTTAACCATATATATGTGCTATTATTACTCATTATTCAGCTAGCTAAACATCTTGACTTTCCTGTAAGTTTCTTGTGAAGTTATTGCTCCACCATGACTGTACTTGACCTTAGAAGAAGAGTTTACACTAATGTCTGCTCTATGATTGTTAAACTTCAGAACCGGTCTCTATAAATGTGTCTAATGAATCTTAATGGCGTCTCTCTTCAGATAAGTTCATGCAGCTGAACAGTGCTCTCTTCAGTCTGAATGGAGGCACAGGTTACGTGCTTAAACCAGAGTGGATTCGAAATCCAACCAAGAAGAAGCCTCCTAAACAAAACATCCGAATCAGAGTAAATACCCATGTTGATTCAGTTTGACGTTTTATCGCGTTCTAGAATGATGGCTGATGATACCACGCAATGTTAAAGGGCTAGTTCCAACAAACAGGAAAATTCTGTCATTAGTTACTCACCCTAGTGTTCTACCAAACCCAGACTTTCGTTGATCTTAAATAATATCTTTATTTGTGTTTTGATGATGAGTGAAAGTCTTATGGGTTTGGAACGACATTAAGGCGAGTTTCATTTTTGGTTGAATGATCCCTTTAAATGAATAGGAATGACATAATCACTTGCAAACCTATATGTCATTCCAAAATTTTCTAAATGTCATTTTCTTTGGTTCCCTTCAGGTGATAGCAGCTAGGCATCTGCCCAATCCAGATCACATCATCAGTCCTTTTGTGCAGGTTGAGCTGTGGCCGTACACTGGAAGTCAAGCAGATGACTACAGTTTCAAGACTACTATGTTCAGTAAGAAAGTGGAAAAGAGAGTTATTGAGAGAAAAAAATGTTTTAGATTACAGTAGTGTTGCTGAATGTTGGTACTGTACCTTCACAGAGGATAATGGACTAAATCCAGTGTGGCTGGGCCCAATGAATCCACCAAAATGCTTTCAAGTAGATGAGCCAGACCTGGCCTTCCTGCGCTTTGTGGTTTTTGAGGAGGACACGTTTTCTGATGCTAAGTTTCTTGCACATGCCACTTTTCCTATCAGAGGTATTCGCTCAGGTAAATCCACCCAATGGATTTTAACCACCAATAGGCCTTGTAAATGTTTCATTCTTTTAGTGAGCTGACGAATTTTATATATATATATATATATATAATTCAAGCATTTTGAGCATTTATCTTCCAGACGTTTAAGGGGTCATTTACACGACACTGTTTTCAGTTAAATCCTGAAAACTTTGTATGCCTTTTTGGCCATTCAATGACACGACAACAGCGTTATGGGGCCTGAAGATAGAAACTTTTGATAACGGGATGCAATATTGTCATCATCTCCATGTAAACTCCTAAAATGTGAATTTCTGAAAATGGTGACATCAATGACGTGCATTATGTATTCAGTGGATTTGGGAAACCCTGAATTTGAAGCATTGATTTTATTACATTTCTTTCATAATATAGGTGATTCTCACAAAAGCTTGGTTTTAAAAAATTCAAAGATGAAAATTAAAAAAAATGCTTGAATTAACAAAAACAAATTTCAGACATTAGAAAAAAAGTCTGGAGAATTTGTGAACTTTAATTTAAAAACATTTACTTACAATTTAAGACCTTTTTGAGCATAATTTCCAAAACAAGTCCTAAAAAATCTCATTACCGAAACAGTTGGAAAACATCAACATGGTTAGAAAATAAAATAAATTTTCACATTTTAAAAAAAGGATTATTAACAGTCATGCACAGTTACTTAGAAATTTGAAATAATATTTATTTTTAAATTAGCATTATTTATATTTTTCATTTAATTTATCTCATTACCGCAACACCTTCCACAGTTTACAATCTTTTTTTTAAATATATTTTAAAGAAACCTGACACAATTTCAAAATGATGTGACAAACCTGAAAGAACATAATGTGTAGATATTGTAAATGCATTTAAAATGCATTTTATATGAATTAAATTAACATTTAATAATCATCTGTTGCGGTAATGAAACAATGTTTAATATTTCGGTAATGATAATACATTTACTATGTCTAGATTTAATGTAGAACATCCATTTATTTTTTTATGATTTATTTTTATTTTAATTGGTTTAAATTACAACATAACATACAGTCAGTTAAGTTGGACACATTACGGTAATGAGAATTTTCACAGAAAATACAGTAAAATAGAAAATAAAATTATTCCCACGTTGAAATTACACATTGTGAAAGGTAAAAATTAGTATTGTCTTTATTGTGATGCTTTTTTAAATTACTAAATAACATGTTTAATATTTATAATTATTAGTGCCGTGGTGTTTTAATTCTTTCGTGAGAATCACCCATATTGAGTCTCTTTATTTACAGTCTCTACTCTCTAAAGGTTTCTGAGCTGTTGCATTTCACTTCTGCTATTTTTGTCTTTTTATTAGGGTATCGTTCTGTCCCACTGAAGAACATGTTTAATGAAAACCTAGAGCTTGCATCTCTTCTGGTGCATGCACAGCAGTTAGAGGTGAGAAACACACACAAACTGATATCTTTCTCTCTTAGGGCCTCATTTATAAAAACGTGCATAGATTTAATTTTAGGGTGTGCGTACGCCAAAATCCACAACAAAACTTTTATATAAAATGGTCTTTGACATGGAAAAGTGCTCAGCACCACACTAGAGTCCAAACAGACGTACACACTTTTCCTTGTGGCAGTGTCAGTGTACTGGAAGTATTTGGAAAATGAAGCAATTCCTGCCGCTTGACGTTCTCAAGTAAAGGATATGAATGTTAATGACATTAATCAGGTTAAATAAGTTTCGAGTCACAGTTTTCCATTTAGTGTATGTGAACTGATGTTTGCAGCACCAAAAAGACAAACACAGCTCACGAAGACTTAGAAAATAGAGCAGAATTAGCTCTGACTACTTTTACCATCATTTATATAACATCTGGAATATTTTTAATACACTAATGTAGGGTAACTGAGCAGACCATGTTAATGTGAAGTCATGTTAATGCATTCAGGATTATGTTAGAATAAGCTGTATTTGCACCTTAGATTTAATGAACAATAAAGGGATAGTTCACCCAAAAATGTAAATAGCGTCCTCATTTACGCACCCTCATGTCATCCCAAACCTGAACGAAAGCCTTACAGGTTTAGAACGACATGAGGGTGAGTAAATGACAATTTTCATTTTTGGGTGAAATAACCCTTTAACATTGAGACTGCTGATATAAAAGCAGTAACACCTGTCCCTCCTACAGTTTTACCACTTCCTCGTTCCAGTCAATAATGAAAAATCTGTTTTGTCAACAGGTGTAAGGTAAATAGCAAGTCTTAACCACCAGGAACTAGCCGCCAGGCAATGTAAATATGGACTTGACTCTGTCACTATGGACTGTGGACTTCATTGCAGAAATACATTTAACTGCTGTGATAAACAAAACTGTATATATATATATAATATATTTGTATTACTTATAATATATGCACATTTGTTCACATGCTCATGTTTTCTGGTTCATAACGATACCCGATAACAGAATTTCCTTTTCTACCTAATGCATCCTTACATCTCAAAATAACATCACGTTAAAAAATGGGTCCATATGTTGGGAATATGAAACCCCCCATTTTTTTTTTTTAACAAATGGCTAATGTACAAGTAAAATGCATCAATAAAAAAAAAGCTTTGAAAGCTTTCTATTTGAAACATATTCACAGACAGTTTATTTTGATTGAAACTGGTTCACATATTAGGCTTATTTTCCTGTTGAAGGTTGTGTGTTCGCATTACAACAGCCACAGAGCAGCAGCAGCAACCCAGCTGTAGGTAGAAGCAGAAAAACACACACGAAATAAGGGCAGCAGTTCTATCTGCAAAAAACTCCAGGAGTCATGGATAATGTAGTTCATTCTGTATGTACAAGCCTGTGCCGCAGGGGCCGCGAGGACCCCGGCCACATCATATTAAGACTCAGTCTCAATTCAACATTACAAAAAGCGCTTTTCAAAGAAAAGAAGAAAAATAAAAGCTGAAATTAATGAGACATTATATGTTGATAAGGAGACATTGGAAACACAGATAGCACAGTGAGCTCCACAGGATATTACAAAATAATCAGGAAACAGTTGACTGAAGTATAAACTGGATTTCCACCCCAATAGATAAGCCATCAGTTCGAAGAGATGGTTTCTTTTTCTTGACAAAATGAAGGCTGGGGGAAACCCAGCCCCCAAATCCTTCCCCGCACAGAAAAATGGTCCACTGTTACGACTGTAGACCATTACAGAGTGTCAGTCACATTACCACGGCTTGAGTTTCAGCAGTGTACAGAATGGCACAGTTTCTAGCCACTCACGAGCGCACCTCAATAACACACATTCCCAATATAATCCATCGGTTCACTCCATGCACGAAAACTCTGTCCATATTTCACTTTTAGAAACACGTATTGATCCATATGGTAAGTGGTTGAAGGGAGCTAGTGCTGTTACCCTTTATATTTAAATTCGTAAGATCAAATTGCAACATGCAAAAAGAGAATTAAACAAACAAAACAGGCAACAAACATGGATTAAACATATACAGTCTAATAAAAATAAAAGACCTGAACGCAATGACAGTACACTTGGCCTGGGGGCGGGCAAGGGGAACAAAATTAGGTGACCATATGCACGCACGCATCTCAAAAAGTGAAGGCAACAAAGAGTCTCCCAAAAACATGAGAGAAAGAGAAATGGGAAATTATATACACTCGTATGTACATTATACAGTATGCAAGATGGCAGGAGCCCAGGACTGAACGCCCCCCCCTCTGGACGGCATCTACATCTCTGTGAAATCGAATGCGCGAACACACATGGCAGGACCTACAAAAACTGCTACTTTCAAGACCGGCCACATGGACGTGGCAGCGACTCTATCTAGATATAGTTTAAAGTGGGATTGGAGACAGACACGCCTTTGTAAACATATGAAGAACTCGAGTTAGGACGGCAAATTGATTGTTTTATTTCTGACCGTCTTCATGAGATTTCTTTTTTTTTTTTTACTACAAGATGTGTCTCATTTCTCTACAAGTCAAGATATCGTATGCAACTTATTACAGTGGTCAAACTATACGTTCGCAGAGGCGTTAATCAAAACAAAGCGAGAAAAATGAAATACAAAAAGGTTAAACTGCATAACATCGCACAAATCTTGGCTCGATTTGATATAAATATGAGGAACATTGTCAACCGTTGTGGCAGGACACTCTTTGTGGACTCCTATTGACCACTAGAGGCAAAGTTTACAGAGAATAATAAAAGCTATTAATCTGTTTAAAAGTCCATAATGTCTCTATGTACAACTTAACTGACTTTCCTCAGAGTTGCTAGGTGATGCAATCTTTTACAGAAAATGTTTTAGGCACCATCTTGGTTCAGTACGTTTGACAAAAGTACTTAATAAAAGAAAGAAAAAAAAGACCAAAAAAGGGGGGGGGGCTCATAAATACAAAGTAGTCCCAGACTACTTCCTGGACGACGTTCTCTTAAATATGGGTGTGAAATAAAAATTACACTGTACAATGAAGCTTAAAAAAAAGGAGAGAAAGAGAAAAGGAAAAGAAAATGACAAACAAAAACGTTTTTTTTTTTGTTTGTTTTTTTTGAGAGACCGAGAGAGAGAGAAGCCCCTGAAATGTTTGCATTAAAAATGGGGATACGTCGATTTTCTTTACAAACACACATATGAAAGCAGTGTATGGAAAAATATGCTTATTCAAGTTGATAAAAAATGATTTTCAGAGCGATAGATATATAGAGATGAACATGTCAAGAAGTGAACATTGTTAACAGACACATTATACACAAGAAATCTCTGTGAGGATGCAAAAATGATCCGACAGGACCAAGCACACATGTAACAAGAGCAGGAGAAAAAAAAAAAAAAAAAAAACATGTGGAAATTGGTTTTCCACAAAGGAGGTGATATCAAAACTGTACTGGAATGTGGCTCTGAATATTCAGGCCTTCACCAGGGGAATTGGCTCCAGGTGGTTCAAGGAGAAAGGGAGAAATCAACCATGTCTTCTATGGGGACAAAAAAAAAAAAAGAGAGACGCCAGTTATAGGTTAAAACGAGGGACATGGTTCCTCTGAGGGGGTTTGAGATAAAGGCGAGAACGAGACAAAGTCCCCAGGTCATGTCGCTAGAAAGGTTCCTGTGCAGTCTGATGATGTCTCAGGACATACTCTTGCATTGTGATGCCACTACAAAGAGCGACTTCTAGATGATTCTTAAACGTTTATGATATTATAAGAAGGTCCTTGTCGTTTGAATGATGTTCCTATAAATACAGTCCTCGTTTCTTGATTATGTGTCAGCGTTTTCCTGTGTTTATAAATCTCCTTGAGCATTGTGTTCACCACGCCTCAGTGTAGCGAACGTCCACTTCCTTTAGATTGGGTAGTTTCACCTGTGGGTAGGATTGGAGAGAGAGGTTTAGATATTGAGATGCTTAAGGTGACATCCCAGACAGGAACATAGTGTTGGCCCAAATCTGGTACACGTGGATTCCACACATACCAAATGTGGGCCGGATCTGGGCCCACACTATGTTCCTGGAAAACATTCTTATCGGCCCATCATTCTCTGATTACAGAGTACAATTGATTAATCTATTGTTGAACAAGGAACATGTTTTAATTGTAGATCACATTGTGCACATAGGCAATAAAAATTGGCTGGATGATAAGATTTAAAAGTGAATGTGTGTAATTTATGCACCATTAGTGTCACCAAATGGAGTTCAAACTACCCCATTTGCTTTTGGCCAACCAAACAGATAACTACACCCCCAAAGTTGCTGTTTTGTGCTGGTTGTAATGCCCAAACAAAAGCACCACAGAATCACAGTATTTAGATTTTGGGGGGAAATGAACACTACTGATTAAAGTTTAGAGTCGGTAAGATTTTATGTTTTTGAAAGAAGACATCAAGCCTCTTACCTTCAAATCCTCATAGGTGTCTGCAGTGAGTTTAGTACTGTTCATATTCAGGCTGCACAGGCTTTTCATAGCTGCAAGGTAAAGTTGAAATAAGTTAGTTGTCCCACATGTTGACTAATATAAACCATTAATGTGTTAGGAGTCCAGACACACACTAAAGGCTCTTTACATCAAATATTTTTTCAATTTGTTTACTGCATTTGTTAAACGGATTGGCAAAAAATTAAATACTGTCATTTACTTGGATGTTTAGATCAATACAAGAAAAAATATGATGGTTTATATGTAAAAAAAAAAAAAAAAGAAGAAGCTGGGTAAAGTTTGGGTTAAGTGAATGGACCTGACTGAAATTTGAAAGCTTCACTTATTAAATTTCATTTGTACTTGTGGCCAGGCATAACAGGATGTCTGACTTCACTGATGGCAAAACCCACTGTGTTCTTGTGTGCGTTACGTGACGTGGCAAAATTAAAACATGACAGCAAATAACATTTGAGATCTACAGCAGAGAGGAAAATCATCTGCGAACGTCACATTTTATGATACCTTGGAGCTTGACGGTATAAAACACCATCCACTTTTGTAACAATACAAGAAAAACAGAAGCTCGGACATTGTGTTCTTATTTTTTTTTTCACAATAGTACGTGGGTCATACTGGTCTGGAATGACATGAGGGTGAGTAAATCATGACAGGATTTTTTTTTTTGGATGATTTTGGACACCGTTTGGACTCTTCAATTGAGCAGCAGCTGTTTTTTGACAGTTCAGAATGAAGGTAGCTGGATATAAGATGTGTGTAATGCGCTCTTACAGCTGAGGGAGAGCAGGCCAGCGTCTGTGACTGGAGTCTCACACAAGTTCAAAACCTGCAGACAGGCCAGATGCTCTGAGAGCAGACGGAGCCCTGCATCTCCAAACTGAAAAAGTGAAAACACAAACCAAGTCAATTAAAAGTCATTACATTTTTGAGAAATTAACAAACAAACAAAAGTATACTTTTATTAAGCAAGGACACAGTAAATTGATCAAAGGTTACAGTATAATAATACTGATCATAATAATTTGCAACATAATTCTAAGGATTGGATTTACCTCACATTGTGACAATTTTTGGGCAGCCCCAATAACCCTACAAACGTTATATATGTCAGATGCGTATGTGTCATTATATTATTAACATTCTACTAAAATAAGATTCAAAAGGAGTTTTTTTTTTACACTTATTGGAGAAACCAGTTCTGTATTATGTTTGCATTGTAAATAGGCAGAGACGCTCAAGTTAAATATTTGCAAAACCCACAGACAGACGTAAAGGGTCCATTAATTAAGGACGATAAATGAGTAATGATTTATATATAAAAGACGAAATATGGAAATACAAGGTTTTTGCCTGACAGCAATAATATTTTAAATTTTGTTGTTTTAGATAGTAGTTGTCTTGCAATGTGTTTTAGCATTAGAGTGAGATAATAATTTAAAAAAAATTATATTTCTCCTCTGTAATCGGGCCCTCCTGGACCTAAAAGGCATGTGCCTAAAATGCCTATGCATAAATCTGGCCCTGATACCTTTTTTATAATTATAATGTAATGTTGTTCTTTTGAACTTTCAAGTCCTGATCAAAATGTATCATTGTTTCCACAAAAATGTTAAGCAGCACACTTGTTTTCAACATTGAGAATAATAAGAAATGTTTCTTCAACAGCAAATCAACATATCAGAATGATTTGTGAAGGATCATGTGACTGAAGGAGTAGTAATGGCTACAGAAAATTCAGCTTCATCACAGAAATCGTTTTTACTGAACAAATAAATGTAGCCTTGGTGTGCATAAAAGACTTCTGAACTGGATTTACAAAGCATTGGATTAAAAAGTAATAAGAGCACATTTGCTTGGCTGTTACAAAATAGCAGAGATTCTCTGGAACTATTGGACAGTAGAATGAGCAGAAGTAAACAGAGACCTGGGTGGACCACAGATTGAGCTGTTTGAGGGATGGCAGTTTGATGAGCTGTTCGGCGCAGGCACTGGTGACGTTGGTGAACGCCAAGCTGAGGTTCTCCAAATTGCCGAAGGAACCGGAGCTCAGCAGACGAGCCAAGTCAGCATCCTAGAGTAAAAAATATGAGGGGAAAAAAGCCTTGAGAAAGAATTTATAGTACTGTTTTTCACTAAGAAAAAAACAGCATGGATCCAAGCACATACACACATTGTAATTTATTTACACAAACACACACTTACCGTA